AAGTATATACAGTAAAACTTTGTTAACAAGAATTCTAAAGGACCAACAAATCAAGAGTTAAAAATTCTTGCTAACAAAGGTTAAAAATTCTTGCTAACAAAGGACTAATAGTTGTATTAAATACATCCCTGCTGGGTCAAAAGTTTGTTCATTTTAACCCAGCGTTAGTCTTAAGCAAGTTTATGTTAATACTAATCATATTCAACATTCATAATTTAGCTTTTTAGATGTGAGAAGCTATTTTGTATTACTAGTTTTGTCATCCATATTCTTCTTTTTATCTCTGAACTGACCTTGTTGAGGAAAAAAAAAGAGCAACTTTGATTAAGTGTCTCTTCATTGACTGTGATTGACTGGAACTTTTGATTACGAGCCACTTACCTCCTACAGTTGGCATCTGTGGCTTAGGCGTTACGAATGAGCTTTGTAATGATGGGGTGCCGGGTTTGATCCCGGCTGTGGACGGTTTGTCTTGCGTTGGTTGCAGCAATGGTACCGAGAGTTGACCGTTCAGAAAGAAATAGCAAACTACTTACCATAAAATTTGCCTAGAAAAACCACAACAGCCAAAAAATGCTGGGGTTGGTTCTGCAATGTCCTGTAAAGGTTATGCAGCTAACTTTTTTTTTAACCTATTACAAATTCTGTAATATGAAAATAACTTTTTAACTGGCATTATAATCAAAACTAAAAAACAAACAATTAAAAAACATTAATTCTGGAAACAAGAAATGAAAGTTTTTTTTTTTTTTTAAACTGCAGCTGAAACTAAAACAGAGCCACAAACTGATATAAAATGCACAAGACAAGGAGCAGAGTCACTAAAGCAAAGCAGTTACATTTGATACAAAAGCTTTAATGGTGTCTTTGCTCAGCCCGTAATGCATCATATAAAGGTGCAAGTGCGTATATGATGGCACTAAAGATGACTACAAGTAAAACAGTATATTACTCTCCACCCACAATCAAAATGCATGCCCTTCTTGCCAACAGTCAAGCTTGCCATAATACACTGGAGACTCTAAAGCCTTTTATGAGACTATGATTTCTCTTACGTTTTTTCTTTTTTTAATGAATAAGCAAACACAAACTATTATTAGGAAGCTCAACAAAGGGGAAGAAGAGCAAAGATACAACCAACATTTCAACAAGTCTTTATCAAGTAAAACAAGTCACAGCATCAAACTGGGGAGTCAGAAACAGAATGTTCTGTTGATTTCTCTGTGTGATATCCCTGCTTGTTAATTTATTTGTTGATAATGACTTGGGTCAAAAAATGTGCCTGTATCTGTGTGCTTCTTTTCCCTTCCCCCCTCACTGAACTTCCTAGGCATTGTTTGTTATTTTTTTTTTTTACCAGCTAGACTGCAGTCACACGTTTTCAACACTCCCATGCTCCTATCCGGCTGACATTAAAACATTACTTTTTCACTAAACAATAACGATGTTCTGATGATGTGATGATGGTGTTAAGTATTCAGCTCACCAGTCCATTAATTTTTCATTTGCTCATTATCATCTCTGATTTTTAAAGGCACAATTTTAGCAAAGATAATGCAGAAACATTGCTATTCTTAATATATTGCATCATGCTTCTTCGCTGAAGACAAAGTTTCCCTCGCTCTAAATTAATTGTTATACGCTCATTAGCCAAAGACCAATGTACTTCCACTCTATTATTCTAAACATAAAAGCCACAGTGACTTTTTTTTAGAGCCAGCCAACATTGCAAGCACAATTTATGTTCACTCTGGGTTCATCATATGTGTTTCAGAGCATCAAAGTATCATTCAAATAAATCAACAGTCGACTTTACATAGGTACAATCACAAGTGATGGAACTGACATAGTGTCAAGAAAACATTCATCACTAAATTAAATGACCCTTACACAAAACCACTAAAGATTTGGAATGAAAGTTAAATGCATTAAAAACCAAGTGCCTAAGGAAAACGAAGAACACTAAATAGGATAAATTGAAGACAAAGGGAAAAAAAAGAGAAATGTCTGCACAATCACTGGTATCAGCGGAAGAAAAAAGAGAAATGTCTGCACAATCGCTGGTATCAGAGGAAGAAATGTCTGCACAATCGCTGGTATCAGCGGAAGAAATCAGAGAAATGTCTGCACAATTGCTGGTATCAGCGGAAGAAATAAGAGAAATGTCTGCCCAATCGCTGGTATCAGCAGAAGAAATGTCTGCACAATCGCTGGTATCAGCGGAAGAAATGTCTGCACAATCGCTGGTATCAGTGGAAGAAATCAGAGAAATGTCTGCACAATCACTGGTATCAGTGGAAGAAATCAGAGAAATGTCTGCACAATCGCTGGTATCAGTGGAAGAAATCAGAGAAATGTCTGCACAAACGCTGGTATCAAAGGAAGAAATGTCTGCACAATCGCTGGTATCAGTGGAAGAAATCAGAGAAATGTCTGCACAATCGCTGGTATCAGTGGAAGAAATCAGAGAAATGTCTGCACAATCACTGGTATCAGAGGAAGAAATCAGAGAAATGTCTGACAATCGCTGGTATCAGAGGAAGAAATAAGAGAAATGTCTGCACAATCGCTGGTATCAAGTTACAAGAAAAAGAATATGGTGATACATTAGGAACATCCTAAGAAGAATCAAACAGAGAATTACCCATCAGGCACTCAAGTGTATTCAGGAGACGAGAACTTCCCCCCAAAAAAACACACACCCTCAGATGGACACTGATGAGAGAAACCAAAAGTGCTGGACCTAATTTTGTCTGTGACAATGAAACAGTTGCACAGGACAGAATGGAATGGAGAACTAAACTGACGGCCCTATGTAATAGATAATGGCACAACAAGATGATGATAAATTAAAAAAAAATTATTTAAAAAAAAAAACCTACTTTAAAAAGGTGGTACTTTTGTTGCTTTCACTGGCGGTAAACTGGTGGAAAGTTCTGATTATTTGTCCACTTCTGGACTTTGTCCAGAACCTGAGCATTGCATGCACATCCATTTTTACAGATCTGACTTATCTGCATGCAGACTGTTGGTTCCTTACACACTGACTTTGAAGCAAGCCCTAGTTAGTCGACTCTTACGACATGCTTGTTGGGCCGGCAATGAGTCTACTCTGGTTTTCCCAACAGTGGGACCCCAGAACCCACCTAGGGAGTACTAAGTTTAAAAAAAAACAAAAAAAACAAGAGTCCTTGTGACTTTAGTTAGTGACATATAACCCAACCACAACATCCACCAAACGACAAACACCCGGTGACACAAAATGCCACCATGGGAATGAGGATCACCTGGAGGAGGTCTTAGAAACCCTGTTCAACAGTTTGGTTATATTAGGGCTTCCCCTGCAACAGCCATGGTGCGGCTTTAAAAGACACACACAAAATTATGTCCAATACTGGCACCTGGTTATGTATATAGTTAATTGCGTCTGTCTTCACTGACCAAACACATCCTTATGTTTACCACCTTAAATATCAGAACACAAATTAAATTCTGCTGTAATGTTGAAGTAATTTTATAAATGTCTTTTGTGTGTGTGTGTGCTGATAAAGGGCGCAGTAGCAATTTATTTATTTCATTACTCATGACTCTGTTTTTCTAACACTTGACTGTTTCCACTTTCTGTTTCTGCTGATTTATTAACTGTGTTATTACAACTTTACCTCAGTTAAACTCATTCCAAAGTATCACATGAAGTAGGAAGGAACCAACCTCTTTAACTCATTCAGAACTAAGTGACACATCCTAAGTTTGCCAGATTCCACTTTCATTAAACATTCTGCTGAACTCCTCATGCCCCACCAAATTGCTAATACTAACCTGATCTGCTGCAAAAATTATTTCAACCCTTCTCTCTCAAAGTACACTTATTCTGACTCTTTAACAACATGCATTTGTTAGTTCCTTCTGACACGACCCACCTTTCTAAACTCTCTCTGCCCCTATCCAGGTGCTACATTAACCCACTCTGACCCAAAATGTCACCTTAAATCCATCTGCCATATGGTATTACAACTGTAACAGTATTCAACTCCGACTTTTTAGTTTAAGTGACAACTTTTGAAGATATAATGGGTTAAAGTGGAACTTATCTGGGCTGAAAGAACTGAGCCATTCTGAGCCAGTCATTGATTATCTGAAGTAAAAACTGTCTAGAAGAGAAAAGGCTCAATTATATCTGCCCAGTACTAACAAGGTTATCAGTGACAAAACTATAAAGGGATAAATATATATACCTGAAGCGGTGAAAAGACAAAAGACAAGAGTCCACGCTTAACAAGGTCAGAGACTTATATTGTAAATGTTTTTTTCACAGAAAGACTAATTTTCTCTGTGTTTTTTATTGTTTTTCTCTAAAGTATTCTTTAAAAAATGCATGGGTTCGTGTCTTTAGTATTAACTTTTCAATGCTAAATTGTATACATATGACATACATTCTGTGTGTAATCTATTCTACGAATGCCGAACTTCACAAACACTAACACATTGAAAAAGTGATATTTTTGTCATAAATTGAAAACAAAAATGCTGTGGAGTGACCCATTAAACGCAAATGTCTCTGACCCGATTCATGAATTTGTAAAGACATGGCTTGAAAATGATTTCAGACATTAATTCTGTTAGCTGAAAAAAAAATCAAAAATCATGAAGGTTATGTTTTCAACCCTGCTTTGGTTTTACTGTGAGGACATTACCTGGACACAACAAGCTAACATGCTCTAAAACTATCATCTTTCCTGACTCTCCATAGTTTGTGTTTATTAAATGTAAAGTCCTTAACTTGATTCACTTATCTGCTGAGACATTATTTGTACATAATGAGCTTACACGTCAATTCTATTTAGAGACAAACACATTATGACGACTATTTTTGTTCAGCATTTTTTCGGTTTCAAGATATTTACTAAACAATAATGATGATGATGATGACTGCATAGACATTACTTGGACACCCATAACAAGCATTTCTGAAAACTGACAATCTATCTCGACTCTCACTATCATTTGTGCTGTTTTAATGGCAAATGTCTCTGTGCAACTACGGAGAGCGGGCTCTGACACCTGTTTGCGCTGATGTATGTCATACTGGGCAATAGCTTAATAATAGGAGTGGAGACGGTGGTTTTCTTCGCTAGAAAATTCTGCACCCTTGTGGTCAGCATGCTTCCCAGCATGCCCCTGTTGGCCGGGGCACGGTTGTATAGTTTATTGTTGAGATTCTGAGATGTGTAGCTCTTGTATGGTGCGCAGGGTTGTTTGTTACTGCTGAAACTGTCACTTCGATGCTGCTGCTGCTGCTGCTGTTGGTCAGCCAGGCCAATCGACTCAATTTGCTGTCGCCCAATTTGCATATAAGATTTTAAAATGCTGTCTGGAGGATGAGAGGCCACACTGATAGACTTCCTCATTCTGTGAGGTCTAGATTTGGAAACATTTGTGTTTGAGCAATCCATGTTAATACTTAAGGCTGATGCTGGTCGCAGGATGGTAGTGTCTTCAAGACCACCTGATGCATATACATTTGTTTTAAAATCTACGGTCTCCTCTCCATCTTCAATACCTGCAGGGGTACTGCATGCACCACTAGCAGGGTTTTTCCGACTATACTTGATGTGCGGTTGCCAGGGGTTGCAAACGTGCATCTGTTGATTGTTAAGTATGATCAAATCCTGAGCTCTGGAGTTTACTTGACCCACATGCAGGCTAACAAGGACTGAATCCTTCTGGCAGCGGCAATTGGGGTCAGCAGAGTCTAGATGCAAGTTGCCTCCCCTGCCACACCACTGACATGCTCGATGCCAACCAACTCCTGAAGTGGTGCTGCCACCTGTGACACAAAGGGGAATAATAACACATTTACATTTACATTAAGTATAGGTTAGCTGATATGTGAATACAGAAGCATGAAAAAGAATACAACAAACTGAGAAAAGCTGATTTAATAATCCCCCCCCCCCCCCCCAAGATAGCAGAAATCTTATTAACCTGCTGTTTATATAATTGTGTTAACTCTAAAAACACTTGAAACTGTTGGCTTTATCTGTAAAGAATAACTGTTCACTGCACCCTAAATATACCCCTAAAATCCTACATTTGGACTATCCCACCAGACTGCAGATTGCTGTAACTGCAGAAGTGCCTTTGTTTAACATAGTGTATGGCTGAATGTGGTCTCTGGGATTTCCTCCTGTTTGATCCTCATCCCTTAGGTGTTAATCCTAGATAGCAGTCCTGTAGGGCAGTGACTCTCTCAACCTTCCTAATGCCGTGACCCTTTAATACAGTTCCTCATGTTGTGGCAATCCCCAACCATACAATTATTTTCAATGCTTCTTCAGAACTTCAATGAATATGTGTTTTCTGATGGTCTTAGGTTCGACCTCCAAAAGAGTCACGAGAAATGCTGTTGTAGGCAAACTGAAGCAGTCTGCTCCGTTATCTCCCTTGCTGCAGTGACCCAAGACCCACAAAAGCAGTCTGCTTGATCGTTGCCCCATTTGATTAAGCACTGATCTAAGCTTGTTGAATCTTAATTGTTTTGCATCTGAAAAGTGGTTCCTTTAGAAAGTTGGTGTCAATGTTTTTGGCTGCAATCCTGCAGGAAAAAATGCTTAAAAAAATAAATTAAAAAATTCCATAAAGACATGAACCAAATCTGTGGCAAAGATCATTACTTCTGACATTGCCCCCTCCTTTTAAGCTCAATCTATACCCTATTTAAAGTCGTCCCCATGAGGAATGCAATTTTTTGTTATTTGAAGCCCCACCCTGGCTTCTGCCAGGGACCCTGAATATAGCCGGAGCCACATTGGCACAGCAGCTAGATGCTCGCTTGCAGAAACAAAGGTCTTGGGCTGAAATCCAAACAGAGCTTGACTTTTTCAAAAATGACCTTGGCTCCTAGGTCAACCCATCTTTAAATGGGCACCAGGTAAAGTCTTGGGAAGCATGATGATGATGACTATATCGCCCACAGAGTGCAGATTGATCTATACAACAGAGGTCGAGCATTACATGCTAAATGAGACTAAAGGCAAGGACAAAGGTCCTTTTAAAACGGTAAGCAGAATCTTTAAGGTCAAAGTTAAATGTATCTGATTTAACCTACACAAAATGTTTTTTTTTTTAAAAAGCAAATGATAAAAAAGAGCTCAGTGTACTACAAAGATTACAAGAAGAAAACTGATTACATAACAAGCTGCACATTTTAATAATTGTTTTTAAAAACTATCAACACTAAGTCACGCTGGGTGTTGCGCATTAAGTCAAAAGTTGCAGTGCCATCAAGACACAGTAAACATGCAACCATCATAAAGTATAGTTTCTACTATCACTATCCATCTGAAGAAGGAAAATTAAATATATCTCACAGTTGTAGATACGGGCAGCCACCATAATCTTGAAGACTACTTCACTATGATTGACTACAGTCTACACGCCAATGATTTACTACCATTTAGAAGACTATGACTCACTTAAATCTGCAAACCTACTTAATTTAGTTATCATGTAGCAGAATATATGACTTACTTAAATCTACAAACCTACTTAATTTAGTTATCATGTAGCAGAATATATGACTTACTTAAATCTACAAACCTACTTTATTCATTATCATCTATCAGAACATATGACTCACTGAAGTCTACAAACCTATTTAATTCACAATAATTTAGAAGAATACATAATTCTATATAATTGATAAAGCTCTACAGAAACAGAAAAACATGCAGTGCTCTCATAAAGTTCTCCTGGAAGAAAACTAACTACAGTGATGGGCTTTTTACTTTAGAAGCTCTTAAGGTCATGATATTAATAAACAGCTTGAAAAGACCAGAAATTATTTGTAGATGAAGCCAACAAACAAAATGGGAAGGAACGGCTATCCTCCGAATAACGGCCACATATTATGGCGGCCACAAAAACACCCTAACAGGGCCTCAGTCACATGTAAACTGCGGACTTCTGGCGATTTAAATTGCGCACTTCCAGCGACTTAAATTGCACACTTGCGGCGACTACCGCAGAGTATCTCCCACGCCGCTACGTGCAGCGTGGATCGGGGCTAAACTAGATGGCTAGGACTCACGAGCAGCAGCTTCCTCATCTCCTGCAGCTTTGTGGTATAGTCGCCAGAAGTCCGCAATTTAACTGTTTTAGGCTGCTATAATATGTGGCCGTTATTCGGAGGATAGCCGAAGGAACTATCATTACTGCTGATGGTGTCAAGAACATTTAGAGTTTCTAAAGCTGCCTGCCCTCCAGCAGTTGCAACCTGGTGCTCAGATAAGAGGTAGGCAGTGCGTGTGTGTGTGTGTGTGTGTGTGTGTGTGCATGTGTAGGATCCTTATGAAATGTCTTCTTTGTGCGCCACTAAAAGGGCAGTTGGCATGTTGTGTCATGGCTTACAACTGGGCTGCAACATAGGCACCTTTCAGCAAATTCTTAATTATTGACTTTTTATGACAAGCAGCTTGTCAGTGGGTCTTGTCAGTGGGTCTTGTCAGTGGGTCTCTCCCCCCCCCCCCCCCCCCCCCCCTTTTCCCTCTTGGAGACATAGAACCCACAAGGTTATGATAGGGGAAACTATTTTTGCTTTATAATTGAGAAAGATATATCCAGATAATTTAACTGCAGCTTCTTAAAGAAAATATAACAAGGGTGCCACACACATACACACACAAATGACTGACAACTAAGTACTGTTAATATTTAAGAAGGTATGGTATGAAGAAAGCAAGCAACTCCAGAAATAAGCAATACTGTGACAAAATGTGATGGTATAAACAAACAGCTACAGAAGCATGAAGCAGTCAAGTCAAGTCAAGCAAAGAACCATTTATATGGCAAAGGACCATTTACTTATATGGCAAAGGACCATTTATTTATATGGCAAAGGACCATTTATTTATATGGCAAAGGACCATTTATATGGCAAAGGACCATTTATATGGCAAAGGACCATTTATTTATATGGCAAAAATCATTTATTTATATGGCAAAGGACCATTTATTTATATGGCAAAGGACCATTTATATGGCAAAGGACCATTTATATGGCAAAGGACCATTTATATAGCAAAGGACCATTTATATGGCAAAGGAACATTTATATGGCAAAGGACCATTTATATGGCAAAGGACCATTTATATGGCAAAGGACCATTTATATGGCAAAGGACCATTTATATGGCAAATGATGCTAGACTCATCCTGGTTTCACAGATCAATCAGGTCTCAATGTAAGTGTGATCAGCATCACACTGGCTGAGTTTACTTCTGAGGTAATTTCCTGGTACCTTGTTTTAGGCTGGGTCTACCACGGAGCCAAGATACATTTTGGAGAGGGGGGGGAAATCTGTCTCAATGTGGGTTTGAACTTGAGAACTTTGGGCTGGCCTGTGAGTGTCAAGCCATTAACTACCTCGGCTCACATAAATGTCCTCTAAGAACATCACAAACTAGAACCCTTATAGGCAGTGGCAATCACTGAGGTCACCAATCAAACCTTACTGGAATTGACAATCATCAGTCTTGCTCTAAGCTAAGTTCAGAGGGAAATAAGCAACCAGGCTGCTAACAACAATGAGTTTATTATCTTTTACAGCTAGTTACTGCCTTTATTATACTACTGTTAGGGTGTAGGCAGGCGGTTCTTTGAGCCTGAGGCTTTAAGGTGTAGGCAGGCGGTTCTTTGAGCCTGAGGCTTTAGGGTGTAGGCAGGCGGTTCTTTGAGCCTGAGGCTTTAAGGTGTAGGCAGGCGGTTCTTTGAGCCTGAGGCTTTAAGGTGTAGGCAGGCGGTTCTTTGAGCCTGAGGCTTTAAGGTGTAGGCAGGCGGTTCTTTGAGCCTGAGGCTTTAGGGTGTAGGCAGGCGGTTCTTTGAGCCTGAGGCTTTAAGGTGTAGGCAGGCGGTTCTTTGAGCCTGAGGCTTTAAGGTGTAGGCAGGATGTTCTTTGAGCCTGAGGCTTTAGGGCCACAGGCTAGTGCAGGTGAGGATTTTATTTTGCCCCCGACAGAAAAAAATCCCGAGCCTTACCGAGGATTTGAACCAGGGTCTCCCACTTGAGAGCCTAGAATTCTAACTATTCGGCCAGCCACTTTAAATGTATTATTACTAGTCATAACTTGTTAAAAGTGTTTTCTCACTAACAATCTTTCCTTCCTCAACTTGCTAACAAACTCAGATAACTACCCTTATCCATGGCCAACCACAGAAGTCACAAGGTTATTCTAGATTATATTCTATACCTAGAATTTCACCCCCAACAGAAAAAGTCTATCACCTTAACCGGGGGTCGAACCCAATCTCCCTCATAACAGCTCATCATGTGTAATGCTAACAGATACAATCCCAAACACTAAACTACTTCAAGTCACAAACCAAGAAACTCTAGTCAGTATGATAACCAAGAGAAGATGGGAATGGCTTGGCCATTTTCTTTTTAGAATGAATCCTGATATACCTGTGAAAACTGTTTTCACTTGGACACCAGACAAAAGAGAAAGAAGTGGTGCCCAAAAACAACATGGAGACGAATGATGGAAAGTAAACTGAGTGTTGCATCCCAAACATGGAAAACTGCACTGAAGACTGCACTAGACAGGAAAGCATGGAAAGTCTTCTCTGAAGCCTCATGTGCCACTAGGCATAAAGAGAATCGACGTGAAGAAATTTGTAATGCTAACATCTGTTTCTGAATTATGTTACCTTCCCGTTTAGGTACCAGCGCTCCATTCTGGAGGGGGATGAGGGATAAACTCACTATAGATGCTCGGCGCGGATCAGAAGGTCGTGGGTTTGCTCCATTGTGAAGCCGGACTTTTTTCAAAAATGACCTTGGCTCCCAGGTTGACCAAGCCTTGAGTGGGTACTGGGTGCAGTCCCCGGAAGTAAAGGCGGTCGGTGTGATGCTGAATACATCACCCATCTTGTGCCGATTGGTCTATAAAAATATAGGTCTAGCCCTATATACCCTATATGCCTAAACGCGTGGAAAAGGGTCATTTACTTTTTTTTTAAAGGTAATTAACTCTTTGAGTCCCAAGGAACGCATCATACGTTCATAGGTTACTGCCTAGAAGCCCAATGAACGCCCGATGCGCCGATTTTACGTCTCTTTTGACTACCCCTTGGGCCTGTGATGCTAAACCCTCTGGGACTCAAAGAGTTAACTAATCAGGGAAGTTTCCTTCAAAGTCTAGGCGCATCTGCCTGAGAAGCGAGCAATCAACAGTCTGCGCACAAAAAAGGCGAGTCTGTAAAACAAATGTGCAGGCAAAACTCAAGCTCATGAACATGACAGAAGCCCAGAAGTGGGCAAACATCCAGAACTTTCTGCCGCAGTTTCCAGCTGGTGAACACAAAGAAGGAGACCTCTGTAGACAAACGATGGCCAAGTGTGCACACAAACACAATGAGGTCTTAGGATTAGATTAAATTTGTAAGGTTAACTCTTTCAGTAACAACCACCTGCATCATGTGTGATCAGCCACTGCCCATGCGTCCTAACTCTTTCAGCCCATGGGGTATTAAAGAGAGAGGTAAAATCGGTGCATCTTGCATTCCTGGGCTTCTAGGTAGGAAGATATGAACATATGATGTGTTCATTGGGACTGAAAGAGTTAATAATGCAAGATGTGATTCAATTTTCTTTGATTAACATTTGATAAATTATGCTAAAATTTAAAATATTATGTTTCATGTTTTAAATTATATATCCACCAACTCCCCCCCCCCCCCCCCCCCCCCCCCCCCCCCCCCCCCCCCCCATTTTTCTTGAGTAATGCATGTATGCTCTTTATTCCCTGTGGCTAAGTACTCGTTAAACATCTCTGATAAGATCTTATGAGAGTGAAAGCGTTAATATCTGCTTTTGAATTGTGTAATCTAGCAGAATAGTTCACACATTAAAAAGATAGTATGTTCTCAGATAAAACAGACAGCTGTAGTAGTACAGTGGCTTAATTTTGCCTTGTTTGCCTGAAAGTCTTCAAAAACACATAAAGCCACATTTGGTATAACTGACCTGTGTTTCCAGGTAAACGCAGCTTTAAACTGGTACCGTAAGTCTCCTGGAAAGTAACGGTGGCCGGTGCAATGTTGGCCAGATTGCCTACTGAGTGGCCAGATTGCCTACTGAGTGGCCAGATTGCCTACTGAGTGGCCATAATGCAAAAGAAAACTGCCATATGCCCCAGAGTAAAAAGGATTGTTTACTGGCTGCAAAAACATAGTATTGCAATGTAGTGGATTTTTTACTTTTCTGTGTCTTTTTTATTTCTTTGATAAGAAAATATAAGCTACTTTTAGTATCTGTAAATGATACCGTCAGTAAATGATACTGTCAGTAAATGAAGATTGTATTTTTTAATGTTAAAACAGTTTATAGTCCTATTATATTGTCTTATGTCTAAAAAGTGGTTCTAGTCTAAAAAGTGGTTCTAGTCACGTTAAGAGACCCAACGATGAGAGTGATCTCCCTTCCCATTGATGAATCGATCTGGTGTAGGGCCTCTACTATGTCGCAGGGGTGCATCCTAGGTTGCATGACTGTATGCAGCGTATAATAGAGGCTGCATACAGTCATGAGACATAAGTTGAGGTTGAGTAGTGGGGAGGGGGGATGGCTGGGGTTATGCCAGTTGTACATATTTTGGGATTGTTAAAAGCGCTCACAACATAGAAGACACAATATTGCCGGACGCTGACAACTAGGAGTAGAATACGACTCAGTAGACCTGAAACCCCTGCGATATAGTAGTAGAGGTGCTACACCAGATTGAGGCATTAATGGGAAGGGAGATCACTCTCATTGTTGGGTATCTTAACATGACATGTACCCAAAAGTTTATATTCTTATCAATAGTTTATAATTATCTGATTATAATGTGAAAACGTCAGATCAATTGATCAATTTGTTTTCTCCGGGCTGCTACTTTAAGGTTTACCATACCATCCTACATTTTAAAAAATCTAAAACTAACAAGGCAGATCCAAGATACCTTTTGTAACCTCCAATATAATTAGGTGTAATGGCAGGACCTAATGTATTCCTGAAAAGGTCCTACCGCTTTCAGAATTTCTACAGGAAAAGCCATCACACAGAACTCAACTGTTGACAACTGGTTCACCACTTCATAGAAACTTAGTGCTTACAGGACAAAATGTGCAACGCACATATGCTTAAAAAAAAACACATGCAAGAAAAATATCACTGATAACAAAATTATGAGCTAAAACAGCTCCAGAAATAAAATAATTAGGGACAATAAATGAAAAAATATTTTACAATTGAAGGTACAACATACACTTATAAAGTGCAATTTCTTTCATACGATTCACATGCAACACATATGTACAATAACCATATGTGATAATTGATGAGAAGAAACATACACTAAGTCCTATAGCATAGCATCAGCGCCATAAAGATACAACCTAGAAGGTAAGGAAACACATTCAATGGATACATAATGTTATCTCGATATAAGTATAAACAATAACAATGTGACTTAAAAAAAAGCTAGCACAAGTTCAAAGGATTCATTGTTTCAAGATTTAAAAAAAAAAATCTCATAAATTTAAGCTAATAATAAGAAGGACTAATTTCGTAATTAATTCACATATGTTCTAAAGGTGGATTGCATCTGACAGAGGTTAGGAACCAACAGTATGCATACATAAGCCAGATCTGTAAACTTGGTGTGCACACAAAACACAGGTTCTAAAGTCCAGAAGTAGATGAACAACAAATGATAGTTGTCTCGAAGGACAGTCACAAACTACGAAACAATACCTGAAATGACATTCACAAACTAATAAAGGTTATCTCAAATGATCTACCCATACTACTGAAGCTTATCTAGAATGATAAGCCCATACTACTGAAGCTTATCTAGAATGATAAGCCCATACATACTACTGAAGGTTATCTAGAATGACCTGCCCATTATACTGAAGGTTATCAAGAAGGACCTGCCCATTCTATTAAAGATTATCTAGAATGACATGCCCATACTATGGAAGGTTATCTAGAATGACCTGCCCATACTACTGAAGGTTATCTAGAATGACCTGCCCATACTACTGAAGGTTATCTAGAATGACCTGCCCATACTATGGAAGATTATCTAGAATGACCTGCCGATACTATGGAAGGTTATCTAGAATGACCTGCCCATACGACTGAAGGTTATCTAGAATGACCTGCCCATACTATGGAAGGTTATCTAGAATGACCTGCCCATACTATGGAAGGTTATCTAGAATGACATGCCCATACTACTGAAGGTTATCTAGAATGACCTGCCCATACTACTGAAGGTTATCTAGAATGACATGCCCATACTATGGAAGGTTATCTAGAATGACATGCCCATACTATGGAAGGTTATCTAGAATGACCTGCCCATACTACTGAAGGTTATCTAGAATGACCTGCTCATACTATGGAGGGTTATCTAGAATGACCTGCCCATACTATGGAAGGTTATCTAGAATGACATGCCCATACAATGGAAGGTTATCTAGAATGACATGCCCATACTATGGAAGGTTATCTAGAATGACCTGCTCATACTATGGAAGGTTATCTAGAATGACCTGCCCATACTATGGAAGGTTATCTAGAATGACATGCCCATACTATGGAAGGTTATCTAGAATGACATGCCCATACTATTAAAGGTTATCTAGAATGAGAGACCCATACTATGGAAGGTTATCTAGAATGACCTGCCCATATACTGAAGGTTATCTAGAATGACCTGCCCATACTATGGAGGGTTATATAGAATGACCTGCCCATACTATGGAAGGTTATCTAGAATGACATGCCCATACTACTGAAGGTTATCTAGAATGACCTGCCCATACTATGGAGGGTTATATAGAATGACCTGCCCATACTATGGAAGGTTATCTAGAATGACCTGCCCATACTATGGAAGGTTATCTAGAATGGCATGCCCATACTACTGAAAGTTATCTAGAATGACCTTGCCTATTCACTGATTGAAAAACCATGCACAACTTCAACCTAACATTTCGACCAAAGTCTTTGTCAATGAGTACAAAATACAACACAAATTGAGACAGGAAAACTCAACCCATAAGACAACAGAGCTTTGAAACAACCAAATTCAACCTGAAACCAAGAAATGCATAAAAGAAAAAGTTTCCCCAATATTTCGCTAAAATACGTATATCTTGTACTGACTCTCAGTAAAGCAGTGCATGAGGTTACTGATTAACAAAAACTCTTTCCCAACCCCAAACACTGCTTTCATAGTCTAAAAGTGATTAATACTGCCACCTGGATAAAATTACTTCATTTAAAAACCTATATTTTAAGCATTGCTTTCATAGCTAAATAATGATTGAGACTGTATCGATTCTGTGGCAAACGGTTAAAATATTTGGTCCTAGTTGGCATTACTGGTATTGTTGGAGCAGTAAGTAACTTTGATTTATTTGTATTAATTGCTGTACTTTGGACATCAGGAAAAGAAATCATTACAGAGGATGATGACCTACAGGGCGACAGATAACCTGATGATGCAGGAATTCTTGTTTTCTTGCTTTGCTTGCAATTTTTTAATCTGGGTGTGGTGGACACAAGTTGGAGGTAATTGACCCTACCTTTAGAACTTGGCTTGCAGACCTGAAGATCTGGGGGTTTTGCACTGACAGCTGCTGTCATCTGACTCTGGCTGGTGCGGTCAGTGCTGGTGACTGTTGGAATGGCACCGTTTGTGGAAACTGATGATTTGGAAATAAAACGTCGATGATTTGTACCAGGTGTGCAAGGTGGGTTAGGATACTGCTGTGCTGGCTGGACTGAGCAGCCATTCTGAGCTGCAATGCTACTGGATACATCTCTTGCCTGTTGGGCGGCTGAGTTGCTGTTTGCACTGTCACTGCTCTTCCCCTCAGAAGTCCTCTGCTGTTTTCTCACCTGCTTGACAGCTTCATCTCCTCCGCTGCTGCCTTTCTGATCTGTCACAGCTTCATTGTTGTGACAGAGGCTTCCGCTTCTTGAACTGGCTTTTCCCCTGTCAACATCAGCAGGAGAGCGGAATGTGTTTACTTTAGAGGCGACATCTTTGGTGACCCGGGAGGGCTGAGACAGTAAACTTTTAATCATCACATCGGGGATTCTCACCATGTTCTTTTTCATGCCGCCTTCCTCTGCACTCCCTACAACTGGGGAGTTTAATAAAGAGCTGGCGTTGAGGACATTCTTGCCACTATTTGGCAGCTGCTCATTATTTGATGTTGACCTTGTGGTAACGGTACGGAGCGTGAAAAGGGAATCATTGCCAGGAGGTAGTTCACTTGAACGGCCTGGCTCCGATTCCTTGTTAGGTCGGACAGCCCAGCTTGGTTTCCTCAGTGCTTGACCCTCCACGCACAGACTGATACCAATGTATGGCGGGACTGTGACCAAGGGCTGCTTGTATGCCAGTTCAAACCGTCCAATGTCACAATTCCTGTCAAATTTGCGGTCAACTACAACTGCAAGATGAGGAAAATATACGTAAACAAATTAGTAACACAAATAGTAAAATTATAATAACTACTTATTACAATAATGTTTGAAATAATTTTGTAAATTCACTACTAAAATGTTGAAATTATTTTCAGAATTTACATCTCTTCTAATTTAAAGAATAAATTGAACCGCTTGCGATCTAAAAGTTAAAGTGAATGTGGTGTGATCTTAAAGAATTTACTACTAAAATATTAAATTATGATCAAAACTTGCTCACAAAATGCTGAAATTAATTATCAAAATTTACTATCAAAATGTAGGAATTATGATCAAAACTCACAACATGTTGTAATTAAAATTAGAAAAACAAAACAGTAGTTATAGAAAATCTCTACCCACTCAGGCCAGTACGGAATACCAAGGCAGTTACCTGATGTTGCTCTTAGGGCTGCACTAATTATAATTTGTTAGGAAGTTGAAAAAGGTGTCTGTATTTGTCCTGTTGGATTCACATCCAAGATTCAACTTTTCAAATCGCACAATGTAATCTACCTGTAGTGAGCGGCCCCAGAGTGGTGAGGTCAGTCCATTCAACAAACAGAAAAGAAAGTAGAAGAGACAGGATCAGAAATGATATCAGAATAGCTGGGACGGAATCAGTATTAAACTACGTCAAGAGACAACGTATTAAATGGTTTGGACATATGTCGTGACTACCACCACATAGTGCACCACAAAGAGCAATGTCACTTAGACAAAATGGAATCAGAGGCAGAGGTCGACTACACAAGTTATTGACAGATGCAATATCTAAAGCTGTAAATACCAGTATCTACATAGCCCATACCAAGGCTCTCACCCAATGTCTCTTCAAATCTTGATGCTGAAATGCAATACAGGACTAGAGAAGAAGAAGGTTCAAGAGCCTTCACAGGACTAGAGAAGAAGAAGGTTCAAGAGCTTTCACACAACAAGAGAAGAAGAAGAAGAAAATTCTAAAGCTTTCACACGACTAGAGAAGAAGGTTCAAGAGCTTTCACAGAACTTGAGAAGAAGAAGGTTCAAGAGCTTTCACAGAACTTGAGAAGAAGGTTCAAGAGCTTTCATAGGACTAGAGAAGAAGAAGGTTCAAGAGCTTTCACAGGACTAGAGAAGAAGAAGATTCAAGAGCTTTCACAGGACTAGAGAAGAAGAAGGTTCAAGAGCTTTCACAGGACTAGAGAAGAAGAAGGTTCAAGAGCTTTCACAGCGAAGTAAACTTTCAATAAGTCCTCTAAGTTGTTGTTTTTCCTATCTGGTCTAAATAGATACATCCATATAACTACTTCAGGATCACAGAGGAGCATACCATCCTTTAATTTTTTTTTTTTACAGCTAATATTAACTGAGAAATGAGCTAGATCTGCATAAACCAGAGACAGATGCCACAAACTCTAAACTACTCCACTCCATACAGCCTCTTTAAGGGTACTTAATATCTTATTTAATACTGAATAAGACATTTTTAAAAAAAATTATCACTATGAAAAAGGTTAAAGTATATTTTTTTGTTATCTAAATGATCAATTTTATCTCTTCTAATTTAAAGAATAAATTGAACCACTTGTGATCTAAAAGTTAAACTGAATGTGGTGTGATCTAAAAGTGAATCAATTATTACCTATTGAAAAATTAAGTTACCTAAAATTCTATGTAAGATACTGTAATACTTGGGTAAACTCAATTGACTGTGACAACTGGAGGGGAATTACTCCATTTTCATCCCAGATATTTTGTAGAATAATCTCAAGAGAATTAACGGAGTAGTGGATACAACCTGAGAGAGGAACAAGCTGGGTTCTTGTCTTGGAAGAAGTTGCCTAGATCAAATAATTATGCTGAGATTTACTTTAGAAGAATCTTGAAAAAACACGACATAATTTTGAACTTCATCGACTTTTAGGCTTTTGATAGCTCGCACAGAACATATATACTTTTAGGGGTGCAATGCCAGCTTTTGCGAGTAATCATCTGCACTAGCAGTGAGCTGCAGTTCTGGTGCAAGATCATTAGGGTTGGCACATCTGACAGCTGCCTCCTGCATTTTTACTTTGAGTGTGTACGCTTCAAGATTCTGGTGGGGCTGACTAGTTTTCAAATGGGGCAGTGAAGGACATTTTGTAATGGGGGTTTTGGGGTGGGCAGTGATGTTGGAAACTCAACTAACCAACACTATGAGTACCAATTACTTTTTACTTGACAGGACATTTCCAGGTACACAATTTATAATGAACTGATCTGGCAGCCCTGGCCAATTAATCTGCCTTGATGAGGTTTTGAACTCAACACCTTCAGGCTGGCAGAAATATGCCTTGCACCTGCCCTACTGTAGCCCCCTGAAGAAAGAAAACAGGAATGTCCCATTACCCCTCAGATAAGTATAGCCTCCCAGCTAACGTGTGTCAAGTCATCCTATACTTTGCCATTTAGTGCCCACAACACCCTACCATCTCCCCATTGCTCACCTGTCTAAACCCCCATGTGTGTTTAGTTGTTGTTGTCTGCTTCCCTTGTGGTTTTACAAATAAATTCTTAGAAATCCTTGTACAGCCAAAAAGAGAAACCAAGAGGTTTTGGAAGAGGTGAGGGCTCAAAGACAATATAAACATCAGAAAGAGATAGTCATAATTTTTTTGGTCATGTTATGAGAAGAAGGAAACTGAAACATGTTGTGACCACTGGAAAGATCTGTGGTGAAAGATACAGAGGAAGACAATGGCAGAAAAATTCTGGACAGCCTTTTGTCATGTCATGGAGGGGTGTCAGCATAGGAAATGATACATGCTGTTAAAGATCACAGATTGTGGAGAGGCATGATCGCCACCTCCGTCAGCAGAGCACCTGATGATGATGATTCCCTTTACATCTCTGGCCTTTCCTGACCTGATTTACCTTTGATGGTGTCATCCAGGACAGCAGTGCACAGTCTGGCTGTCACCGAGGTGCTGGACTCCATACTTGGACTGGAGTTGATCTCAATAAGCCATGGTCGAAAATCTTCAGTCAGCATGAAGTCTGCACCATAAAGCTCAAATGAGGACTGGGAAATATGCCAAAGCAGTTTGATATCTTAATTCACTAGCACCAGAAAGAAAAATGCAACAGAAAAAAAAAAATGAATGTGGATATACATGCTTAACTCTTTCACCCCCCCCCCCCCCCCCCAGACACCCTTTGGTATTCCCCCCAAAAAAATCATAAAATAAACAAACCATTTTACATAGGGCACTAATAAATTTAAATAATATATATATTCATAAATATTTCAAAGACTTGACTGACTGACTTTCTACCCCACCAGGACATCACACAAGCAATAAACATCCGATAACACAAACTATCCACCATGTGGATAAGGATCACCCGTGGAGAGGTCCCGGAAACTGCGTTCAGCCATTAGACCATATTTATTTATGGCCGGGCTACATTGTGGCCCCTGGCAAAGAGCCAGGGTGGGGCTTCCAAATAAAGAAAAATTGCATCCCACCCCACAAGGGGATGACTAGTAATAATCAAAGATTTATTTGGAAATATATGAAGGGAATGAATCAATAAACATGAATATATTGGAGACTTTAAAGGAGTATCTTTCATTGGACCTTTTAAATATAGATGAATTGTACTATGACCATCATGAATATCCAACAACTAAAAGCTAATTATGATGTCATAATTACCAAAAATAGTAATATTTTTCCACAATAAGCTCCTGTTATTTTTAATAGGTGCAAACAGAACCAATGCCAATAACTAGGCTTGTCAGGGACTGGCCATGTTCCTTGGTAGGTTGTAACAGACAGAGTTGTTATATTAGCGCCATTTTAGGCCAAAATGGTTAATGTATTTACTTGTTTAAATAGTGTATCCTCCCTCTATTCAAAGTGCATGTCTGAATGCCAATGGCAACATCTCCCGACTGAATTTTTTTTACAGGCTAGCATGGTGAGATCAGCTATGGATACTAGGAGACAAGAACTTAGACAACACTTCCTGTTAAGGGACATAACTTTTAATGTTGCTGTGACTGCATGTTTGTTAGAATGTAGAAATTCTACAATGAGTAGAGTTGCTGGAACAACAAGTAACGGACCAGTTCTGAGCCAGTGACGCATCAGGTGTATGATGCTAGACCACTCAGCCTTCGTTGAGGAATGTTATCAACATCAAACCGCCCACCTGTACTCCGCAGGACATTACCTGGTACCCACTTTATGTCTAGCTGACCTGGGAGGCAAGGGTAACTTTGAAAACAATCTGCCTCAATACAGATTTGAACCCAAGACCTTTGGGCTGGTAGGCAAGCATCTAGAATTGTTAAATAAGTAATGGAAATTACACTGAGAAGGAAGCCAAACATTTATCTAAAGCAGCGGTTCCCGTTCGTAATCTGCGGACCCCTAGGAGTCTGGAGAACATATTTAAGGTGTCCGTGATATCAAGAACCTTTTTTTTAAAACAGATATAACTAGAGATCTATGTATCTTCTTTTTCTTCAGCATTCTGAGCCCTTGAGGTTCATTGCTACAGACATCACCTGCCTCCACTCATCTCTTTGGTTGGCCTTTTCTTTCCAGTTGGTGACACCAAGTGTTTGCAGTTCTGTCTGGACATTATCTCTCCATCTTCTTCTTGGTCTGCCTCATGGTCTATGACCACTCAGCTCCCTTGTGTATACAGTTTTTTACCTCTCTGTCATCTGACATTTTCTCAATATGCCCCAGCCATTCCAACCTATAAGCTCTCATGATGCCAGTGATGAATGGTGATTTAAACAGATTATGAATGATCTATGTATGCTGGACAAAAATTGACAGAGAGCGGGTCAAAGTGTCAGAGCAGAAAACAGACTCGTGTAGGGTTCTAATCAAACTGGGCCAGGAGTACAGCGATTGGCCAGAAGACACTGAAGAATCAGAAATTCAACAACTGATTCATGATAACTCCTGCCCAGGTAATGTGATTATCTATACAGATGGTTCTGTGTTGAGAGGCAGAAGAAGTGCATGGCGGTTCATTGCAAAAGCGAATGGATGATATTTAGTGCAATACACTAGTGCAATATACCACATATAGTGGGAGAATGGAGGTGGAAGCAGACAAAGAAGCTTTCTCCTGCCTTGAGAATCAGCTGTACACACATGGCATGACTGCAAGCGACTCAGAAAACATGTTGAGATAGATGGAGACAGGCAAGCTTCATGCAGTGTGGCAAGCACCGCTTCAGGTCCAAATAGATCATTATGGTCTGCAGAGAATGGTACAGCTACGAGTGACAAGAGGATCTGGCTAACACTCTACGCTCAGCGGGAAGGCAAGATTGGCATACAATCAAACCAAAAATGTGTTGAAGTCATTAGTGACTATGTTGAGAAACAGGACACCAAAAATGTGTTGAAGTCATTAGTGATTATGTTGAGAAACAGGACACCAAGAATGTGTTGAAGTCATTAGTGACTATGTTGAGAAACAGGACACCAAAAATGTGTTGAAGTCATTAGTGACTATGTTGAGAAACAGGACACCAAAAATGTGTTGAAGTCATTAGTGACTATGTTGAGAAACAGGACACCAAAAATGTGTTGAAGTCATTAGTGACTATGTTGAGAAACAGGACACCAAAAATGTGTTGAAGTCATTAGTGACTATGTTGAGAAACAGGACACCAAAAATGTGTTGAAGTCATTAGTGACTATGTTGAGAAACAGGACACCAAAAATGTGTTGAAGTCATTAGTGACTATGTTGAGAAACAGGACACTAAAAATGTGTTGAAGTCATTAGTGATTATGTTGAGAAACAGGACACCAAAAATGTGTTGAAGTCATTAGTGACTATGTTGAGAAACAGGACACCAAAAATGTGTTGAAGTCATTAGTGACTATGTTGAGAAACAGGACACCAAAAATGTGTTGAAGTCATCAGTGACTATGTTGAGAAACAGGACACTAAAAATGTGTTGAAGTCATTAGTGATTATGTTGAGAAACAGGACACCAAAAATGTGTTGAAGTCATCAGTGACTATGTTGAGAAACAGGACACCAAAAATGTGTTGAAGTCATTAGTGACTATGTTGAGAAACAGGACACCAAAAATGTGTTGAAGTCATTAGTGACTATGTTGAGAAACAGGACACCAAAAATGTGTTGAGGTCATTAGTGACTATGTTGAGAAACAGGACACCAAAAATGTGTTGAAGTCATTAGTGACTATGTTGAGAAACAGGACACCAAAAATGTGTTGAAGTCATCAGTGACTATGTTGAGAAACAGGACACCAAAAATGTGTTGAAGTCATCAGTGACTATGTTGAGAAACAGGACACCAAAAATGTGTTGAAGTCATTAGTGACTATGTTGAGAAACAGGACACCAAAAATGTGTTGAAGTCATTAGTGACTATGTTGAGAAACAGGACACCAAAAATGTGTTGAAGTCATTAGTGACTATGTTGAGAAATAATTTAAATGTGTGGTTCATTTTTAGCTGCAATAAATCATTGTTATATGTGATGGTTTTTATTTTATACTGGGACTTACTAAAAAAAAAAAAAGATTTACTCTTATTGTAGATTTACTCCAATTTTTTAAAATTTATTTTATTATGAATTTGGCTATCAAAAAGAATGAGCTCAGTGACAGACCTTTGAAAAAAGAGAGGTTTTTGGGTCTTATCTAATAGAGAATCACTGTCTAAAGATCTATTCCAGTACATTCAAAATCCTCAAGAAATGAAAATCTAATCTGAATACACACACACACGAACAAATGAACGAACGAACAAACAAACTTTATTTTCAAAGGGTTAAGAATTGGGCACACAGGCCCGTCTTACATTCTGCCCTTCTGGCCTCATGCCATGCATACATTATTCATTCACACATTGTTTTAGCAGATAATAATAATAATAATAATAATAATAATAGTATTAATAAGCATAATTAACAACATCTTTGTAACAATGTACTCTAAGTATGCCCACATTTTAAAACAATTATAATACAAATATAATAAATCTTAGTGGAAATCAACAATATTCTTAGGAAACTATTATCTTCTAATGGGGCATATAGTCTGTAGTAAGATAATATTCAAAAAGCTTCCAATTGTATTTATAGGGGTTGTTGATATTTTTGATTGGTTGTGGAAGTTGGTTTCACAGATGAGCTGCAGAGTTCGCCAAGCTTGTTTTAAACAAGTCTATTCTAGGTTTAGGGATGTGTAATGTGTTTAGGCGTTTGCTATGTCGCCCATTATACTTAAAGAATGGCAAAAGGTATTCTGGAGTATTTTTTTATAAGATTTTGTTAATAACTTTGGCAATATTGAAAAGTAGTCATTTATGGAGGGGTAGCAACTTAAGATCTGTATGTATCCTGGAACTGTTTCTTCCATGATTATTACATGCACGTATGCAGCAATCTCACCTTTCTGTATTCTACCAAATCCTGGGTAACTAACAAAGCACAAACAATGGCGTCTTGTAGATTTACTCCTATTTTTTAAATTTACTTTATTTTAATACGAATATGACTATCAAAAAGAATGAGCTCACTGACAGACCTTTGGGAAAAAAAAGAGAGGTTTTTAGGTCTTATCTAACAGAGAACACTGTCTAAAGATCTATCCCGGTATATTAAAAATCTTCAAGAAATGAAACTCGAATCTAAATGCACACACACGCGCACGCACGTATGCAGCAATCTCACCTTTCTGTATTCTACCAAATCCTGGGTAACTAACAAAGCACATACAATGGCTCTCTTCATCTGTGGATAGATTCTCTCATCCCAAACATCTGGATGCTTTTTGCTCCTGTTTCAACAAAAATGAGTCAACTGATTCAAAGTCTTATAGCCCAAAAAATAAGTCAACTGATTTAAAGTCTTTTAACAACAAAAATGAGTCAACTGATTCAAAGTCTTATAGCAACAAAAATAAGTCAACTGATTCAAAGTCTTATAGCAACAAAAATAAGTCAACTGATTCAAAGTCTTATAGCAACAAAAATGAGTCAACTGATACAAAGTTTTATAGCAACAAAAATGAGTCAACTGATACAAAGTCTTATAGCAAAAAACTCAAAAAATTATAAACATAAAGTTGACAAAACCAAACAAAAACCCCCCAAAAAATGTGAAATTTCTACAAGTAAATATAAGGCTATGGGGAGCCGTTGTGGTGTAGTAGGTAGATGCTCGCCTGCAGATCTAAAAGTTGCTCCACATGGAAGCCAGGTTTTTTCCCCAAACAAAATTTTGGTTCTCAGGTTGACCCAGCCATAAACAGGTACTAGGCACAGTCCTTTGAAGTAAAGGCGGCCGGTGGGAGGTTGACTACATCCCCCATCAATGGCCAATTGGTCAATAAAAATATTAGTCAAACCTCATAAGTCCAATGTGCCAATTGTGTGTAAACAGACCGTACCTTTTTTGTTCTTGTTTTGTTTTTGTTTATTTAATTAAATATATGACCTAAAGGTTAAGTGTGTCAATACTGCAGTATAGTATTTCTTATTGGATGAATGTAGGCAGTAGCAGACAGCCAAAAAAGTCCACAAAATACAGTGCACAATTATATGTGAGTTTAGCAGAACCATAGAGGCTAGAATGCTTTCCATTCTTTCAAATGCTATAGTTTTCCCTTTCATTCATACCTGAATGGTTTCGCTATCAATCCAGATGTAAAAAGTATGATAATTTTGACAGTATGTGCCATATAAAGACGCATGGTGTCGCAACTGCCTAAAAAGTGAGGTACCAACAGTCTGCATACCAAAAAAAAAAGAGATTGTAATACAGATGTATGCATGCATACCTCAAGTTCTGGAACAAGATCCAAGTCAAGACACCGGAGAACAACCAGAACTTTGGATGGAAACTACCGACAGATGTCAAAAGCTGGACAATATCTATCCTTTCAAGCTTTGAGGGCATTTTATTTAAAATATCATCATTGCCTGTTCAACATTTGTTAAATGTAGACTTGAGACAGACAGGCTTGGACAAACAAAAACTCATGCCAAATATTTCTTGAACTCTTCATGATGTTGAAAGCTGGACAATTTCTAACAGCATGGCTTCATCCTTTCTGGCATGGGGGAATTTTGTTTTTTAAATACCATCATTGCTTTTTCAACATTCGTTAAATTTAGACTTGACATAGACAAGCTTGGACGAACAAAACTCACGCCAAATACTTCTTGAACTCTTCATGTGTCCACATATTCTCTTCTGGCAGACGTGACGACCGTGGCCCATTCTTGTAGTGTTTTTGTATGGCATTATTTGACAGATGGATGCTTTGGTCAAAGTCTTCCAGTGTGAACTGTTGAGAACAGAATCTCAGATAGGAGTCCCGATAGAACCACAGGGTCAAAGGGTTCCAATCAGTAACCAAGAACCATTGGCGGATATCAAATTTGGTATTGTAGATGAGCAAGGGGCGTTCTGTTGAGCACATAAGATAAATTCATGTAAAGCTAACTAATACAAAGCATAATCACACAGGTTAGTTGCGTATCCTTTACAGGACGTTGCAGAACCAACCCCAACAGCCCCTGGCTGTTGTGTGGTTTTTCTAGGCAAATTTACGTCCAGTAGTTTGCCATTGCTTTCTGGACATATTCACACAAGCAAACATATATAGACAATATGCATGCACACACAAAAATTACAGAGCATAAATTCTGTCACTGTATCATCATCATCATCATTAAATGCCTTGCCTCTCCACAATCTGCGATTGTCAATGGCAATTATCAGTTCGTGTGATAGCACATTTCCATACCATCAAAAAATGCTGTCAAGAATGTTCTTACTGTCTTCCTCTGTCTCTTTTTATACAGATCTTTCTAGTGGTCACTGCATGTTCCAGTTGATTTCTTTTCATAATATGATGGTGTATGTCTCTGATGTGTTTGTGATAGGCTGCTTCAAGCCCTCACCTCTTTCGAAACACCTTGTTGCTCTTTATTTTTGTTTTGGCTGTCCAAGGAATTTGAAGATTTCTTCTGTAAAACCGCATTTCCCAGGCCTCAAGAAATTATTTGGCTTGTTTTTAATTGTCCAGGATCCACAGTTATATCTTAAAACTGGTTCTATATTGTATGCAGTAATTTTTTAATAACCTCTAGCCACATGGATTTACTGCATAAAATGCTCTTTAAAAAAAAAAAATGCAGTTTTAGCCTGTCCTATTCTGTTCTTTATATCTGTGATACATCTTCGATCATATGTTTTCCACAAGCCCAGATAATACAATTTCTGTACTTGTCCAAAAATGACTGACGTTTAATAAACATTTAGGCATACATTAGAAAAAAAACCATTGTGTTATGAAAACCCTTTTTATTTATACAATATGCTCTACGTGACTAGCATGGTTTTGAAAACACAATTTGATGTGTTTTTTCCACTGCTTAAGAACAGGTATATAAACAGCTGGAGTTATGTTTTCAATGGCGTTGGAGGTATGTTTATTAAGGGACAGTGTGGGTTCTGGGAAAAGAAGGGGGCGGGGGGGGTACTAATTAAAGGTTTGTGGAAAAGGTGCAGATATCGCAGCCTAGCTGTAAACAATAATACAACACCCCAGGGCAAACACAGAACATCTCTACAGACAGACAGATATCATATTAACTGCTGCATACCTATGTACTTTTGTACCACATATTTTCCATCTTTCTTGACCACCTGAGTGCAAACAAGTTTCAGCATGTCTTCCAGTTTCTCAAAACACATAATTCCTGAATAAACAGACAAAAGTCAAATGGGTTAACATTTCAAAAGAAGCCCTAATTCAAGAGTTCAGTGCTAAACACTAATGATACTTTCATCATCATTGTGACCTTTTGTGCCATTATGTCACTTTGAGCCACTTAGTCTATTCCTACATTCCCTTCTATCCTGTGCAATTCTTTTGTTAACATGAGTGGAATCTAGTATAGCACCTTTAGCTTGTCTCGAGGAGATTAGTTTTAGGTTTATTGTAAAAGTGGTAGTTTTCTCAATTCATCTGTCACCTGGTAAAGGTAAGGTAAAGTCAGGAGATGTGAACCAGCGTCATTGCACACAGTTATAAACCATAAGTGCTCTGCCACCAGTACGGACAGCTGATAAGAAATTGTCCGCCCGTGTCGCCGTCTGCATGTAACTCCGTAGTACAGCGACGTTGCTCCATTTACCCCACAGTGTCAACTCTGGTGCCCATTTCCTTGAGGCTGGGTGAACCCTGGGAACCGCCCGGTTTCGAAACACCGACTGTGGGCTGCAACGAGTCGCAGCTGGATTTGAAAGCGAGTCTCCTATTGACTGTCACCTGTTTCCAGTTCAGTACCTAAATGATGATTCTCTGCTCAATCAACCTCAGGATGTGCCCAATACAGAAGAGCTATCTTCTTTGTCTCACAACTGTTGATACCAGTGGTTGTCCAGATACATCTTGTTTCCTAACCTTTCCTGAATTCATCCTCCCAGTGTGAGTTCCAGGGCCTCATTAGGGGGGGGGGGGAACTTGCTGCCCCCCACTCCCATACAAAAGCATGTCATGAAAGGCAATTAATTCTTTCAAAGTCTGAGTGCATCTGACAGAGAAATGAGAAACCAACAATTTTAAAGTCTGAGTGCATCTGACAGAGAAATGAGAAACCAACAATTTTAAAGTCTGAGTGCATCTGACAGAGAAATGAGAAACCAACAATTTTAAAGTCTGAGTGCATCTGACAGAGAAATGAGAAACCAACAAATTCAAAGTCTGAGTGCATCTGACAGAGAAATGAGAAACCAACAAATTCAAAGTGTGAGTGCATCTGACAGAGAAATGAGAAACCAACAATTTTAAAGTCTGAGTGCATCTGACAGAGAAATGAGAAACCAACAATTTTAAAGTCTGAGTGCATCTGACAGAGAAATGAGAAACCAACAAATTCAAAGTCTGAGTGCATCTGACAGAGAAATGAGAAACCAACAAATTCAAAGTGTGAGTGCATCTGACAGAGAAGTGAGAAACCAACAATTTCAAAGTCTGAGTGCATCTGACAGAGAAGTGAGAAACCAACAAATTCAAAGACTGAGTGCATCTGACAGAGAAGTGAGAAACCAACAAATTCAAAGTCTGAGTGCATCTGACAGAGAAATGAGAAACCAACAAATTCAAAGACTAGTGCATCTGACAGAGAAGTGAGAAACCAACAAATTCAAAGTCTGAGTGCATCTGACAGAGAAGTGAGAAACCAACAATTTCAAAGTGTGAGTGCATCTGACAGAGAAGTGAGAAACCAACAGTTTCAAAGTCTGAGTGCATCTGACAGAGAAGTGAGAAACCAACAATATCAAAGTCTGAGTGCATCTGATAGAGAAGTGAGAAACCAACAATATCAAAGTCTGAGTGCATCTGACAGAGAAGTGAGAAACCAACAATTTCAAAGTCTGAGTGCATCTGACAGAGAAGTGAGAAACTAACAACCTGCATGTAAACAAGCCAGATATGCATGCAAAACTAAAATTCATGAATAAAACTAAAGTTCAGAAGTGGAAGAATAAGTAGAACTTTCAACAGAGTTTACAGCCAGTGAATAAGAAGAAGAAGAAGAAAAAGAAAAAGAAAAGAATAAAAGTTATACCAATTAAAGTTCGTCAGTTTCTGCAAGCATTTGCTTCCAAAAGCATTTAACTTTCCTTTCCCTTCATGCTTGTAGTGAATGATACATTGCTCAACAGTCTCTTAATTTTACTCTTGCGTTTTTGTCCCAGTTTTATACTTATGTATCTTCTACTTTTATTCCCCAATGGAGCATGGGTCTTCAACCAACTCATATCAAGTTATCTCCTGCAGCTCCTTCCATGTCCTTTCATATAATTAATCAGCCCCTAATTCTTATCTTTACATGCATTTGTCTCCCTCTAATTCTTCTGCTCTGTAGATTCCAAAAGGAGGACTTTCTTGCTATACTATAAACCATTTTCTCAATGTGTGCTATATTCAGTGCCATGATCTTTTCTTCACCTCTTGATTCATTGGAATTTGTTTAGTTGTCTCTTACATTAGTGCTTCAAACATATCACGACTGTCTGCCCCACCAGACAGGCACCAGATAATCAAAGTCTGTAATTTATTAGTAACTATTTATTCAATCTCCGTATTTCTGATCTATACAGAGGGACTCGTTCGATGTTGGAGTTAAATATTTTAAGTTAAAATCAGATTCAATTTCTTTTGGATCCATATATTTCCTAGACTAATAAGAATTTAGTGTATAAATATTAATTAGAAAAAGTGCTCTATAAACCTTTAATTTGTTCAACTTAGAGGTGTGATTACATATCAACCCCAAACAACAGTCTCTCTGTTGGTGTTCCACTGTTATGTTTACACAAATAAGTAAAGAAGCCTTTTCCAGGCCTTTAGGTATATATGGCATATAGGGCTAGACCTATATTTTATAGACCATCGCCACAAGATGGGTGATGTGGTAGCATCCCGGGACCGCAATCGGTACCCACACAAGGCTGGGTTGACCTGGGAACCAAAGTAATTTTTAAGTCCGGCTTCGCCAGGAAGCGAACCCAAGACCTTCCGATTAGAGGTGAGCATCTAGCCACTCTGCCACGGTCACTCCCGTTCACACAAATACTGAAATATAATTTCTCTTACCCCCATCTCTAACATAAGACTTAGCACCTGGTTTTACAGTGTCAGTCAATACACACACTACAAATAACAAACCATATAACTTTACCTTCACCGTGAAACTTGGCACCTGGTTTTACTGTGTCAATACAAACAACAAATGGCAAACCATGTAATGTTACTTCTACCACAAGACTTGGCACCTGGTTTTACAGTGTCAATAGACAAACTACAAATGGCAAACCATGCAATCTTACATCTACCACAACACTTGGCACCTCGTTTTACTGTGTTAATACACATACTACAACTGACAAACCATGTAATGTTACCTCTACCACGAGACTTGGCACCTGGTTTTACTATCCATACATTTCGTGTACCATCCATTTCAAACTGGGGGCAATGAACTGTAAGTCGGCGAGTTAAGCTCTCACACTGCTTGGCCAGATTTAAGGGAATATGGGAGAAAGTTCCCTCCTCTCTTGATAAAAGAACAGAATAATAAAAATTAATGTTTAAAAACAAATATGTGTGTGCATAAATATGTGTGTGTATCAATATGTGTGTGCATAAATATGTGTGCGGACTTCCGGTTTAGAAATGGCAGCGTGAAGACGTGCTTGCGGCGATACGCGGTTTTATTTTTAAAATTTTCACTTAATCGGTGTTTTTCTCTTGATAACAGAGTGCGATTATTACTAATTCATTGACGATGGATATTTTCTTGTTCATGGATACAGGTATTCTGTGGTTTAGGGGTGTTATAATGAAATTAATTCCACAAAATAGCCACGGCGGCGGCTGTGTCCTAATATCGATAATGTAACCGCGTAGGAGCCACGCTCCCATTATAAACATGAGAGTCCACAGGTAAGACCCCAGTCTACTCTAGCAAAACAAGGTGCTGAAGTCGGAGGCAACCAGCCAGGAGGCGCACCACAGCAATCAGGATGCCACGCACAAACGCAACAGGGAATATTTCTATATCTGCAAATAAGTATGATTCTCACCATGTGACCCACTCACGTACACGTGGTTCCATTTACCGGCCTACGACAAGTAGAAAGAGTCCAGCTTCAAATACTCGAAGCCTTCCCCGTAGAACCAGAAAAGCAGAAAATACAGCTAGTCTTAAAATAATGCACTGGAACGCGGAGGGAGTAAATACTAAGAAATTAGAATTAGAAAACGTCTTGAACGAAGAGAATATACATGTATGCTGCCTTCAAGAGACGTATCTCAAACAAGATATCTCCTTCAAGGTCAGAGGCTACCAGTGTTTCCGATCTGACCGCAAAGACAGGAGAAAAGGTGGCATTCTTACCCTGGTCAAAAATAACATCCTTGCGGGCCAGATCGAAACATACATGGAAGGTGCTGAGTATCAAACTCTTGAGCTCAAGTTAGTAAATACAGATTTACATCTGACCAACTATTACTGCCCGAGCGACCGCCCTCAGGCACTGGATACAGTACTAGTAAATGAAAAAAATGATCATTTGCAGGGATTTCAATAGCCACTCCTAAAGCTGGGGCTACGATTACATGGATCAGAGAGGAGAGAAACTAGAGGACTGGCAGGATGAGAATAGATTCATCCTAGTTAATAAGCCAACCCACCCACCAACTTTCTACTCAAGAGCCTGGCATACCACCTCGACACCAGACCTAGCCTTTCACTCAGCAGACATGGAACTGAATGTTACCAGAACTGTTGGGAAGCAACTAGGAGGCAGTGACCACCGGCCAGTCTAACTATAGAAAGCCAGTCTGTAAGAGAGAGCAGCACACTGCCAAGGTGGAATTTTAAGAAGGCAGACTGGAAGTTATATCAGCTTCGCACAAATGTTCTGCTGGAAAATCTGAACACAGATAACGATGTAGAAAAAGTAGTCCAAGAGCTGAGCAAACGCATGCTGCAGGCAGCCCTAGAAGCAGTTCCAAGAGGTGCTCGTAAACAATTTAAACCGTACTGGAATTGCGATCTGGAGCAACTGCACAACAATATGGAAACAGAAAGAAAACAAGCTGAGACCAGACCTTGTCAGGAGCAGTTCAACAACTATCAACATTCAAAGGCCAAATTCCAAAGAGCCAAACTGCAGGCTAGACGGACAAGCTGGCAGGAAAAGACAAAGTCTCTAACCTTTGAAAGAGACACAAGAAAGTATTGGAGGTTAATTAAACAAATTAATGACGAGAATACAGGAAGGAATGGTAATATTGCACTATGCAAAGAGGGAGCCATCCTAACAAGAAAACAGGCAGCTGACCACTTTGCAGATTCTTTTGCAGAAGACAGCAACATTAATGTCAGCCCAGAGAAACAGCGAGAGGTTCGAGAGAACAACAGCATACAAGACAAAATGATATAATTCCTGAGGCACTGGTGGCAGCACTTACATCTAGCGAGTTAGAGCTAGCAATATCAAAGCTGAGAATGGGAAAATCACCTGGAATTGATGGTATCACCAACGAAATGACCAAGAACCTTGGAACAACTGCCAAAATAAAGCTGCTACAGATCTTTAATCATTGTTGGACCAGTGGCAAAGTTCCTCAAATATGGAGAGAAGCAATTACAATACCTCTGCTTAAACCAGGAAAGGACAGTTCTGATATCTCCAGCTATAGACCGATCAGTCTTACCAGCTGCCTCTGTAAAACAATGGAACGTATTGTCAACCTTAGACTCCAATGGTAATTGGAAAGTAAAAACATCATGCCGCAGCAGGCAGGATTTAGACAGTGCTACTCTACAGAAGACCAGACAACTTACCTTTCACAAGAAATTGAGGATGCCTTCCAGAAAAAGAAGCTAGTGCTAACAGCATGGATAGATCTGAAGAAAGCCTTTGACAAGGTCTGAAAAGAAGGTCTACTGAAGAAACTGAGAGACTGCAGGGTGAATGTGAGTATGTACAAATGGGTGAAAGCCTACTTGTATAACAGAAGATCCAGAGTACAGATAGATGGACTTAAGAGTAAGAAAGTTTTGCTGCGCCATGGCATACCACAAGGAGGTGTCCTGTCCCCCACACTCTTCCTAGTCTATATCAATGACCTGCTTTTTGAACTACTTCATGGAATTAAAGCTGCAATGTATGCTGATGACTTGGTACTCTGGTGTACAAATGAACATGCAACAGTGGCCACCAGACTGCTACAAAGAGCCATAGATGCAATGGCTAAATGGGCCTACAAATGGTGTCAGCATCAACATAGGCAAATGCAGCACCACCCTCTTTACTCTTTCTCCTAAACAAAAATCAGGCGTCATACACATAAATGGAGTACTCCTGAGAGAGGATAAGGAGCCCACATACCTCGGAGTAACGTTTGATGATAGGTTAACATGGAGAAAACACATCAACAGGGCGATAACCAAAGCCAGAAGGAGGGTAGCCATTCTGAGAAAACTAAGTGGAACCACATGGGGTGCTAGCGGGAAAATACTTAGGAAAGTTTACCAACAAAGTGTTCGACCACATCTTGAATACGGATCAACAGCATGGAGTTCGGCATCAAAAACCACATTGCAAGAATTAGACAAAGTGCAAAATCAAGCACTCAGAGTTACCACAGGCAGTATGAAATCAACACCTATAGCTGTGATGGAGAAAATGGGTATGACCCAAGCACTGAGTGAACGCAGAGACACCAAGATGCTTTTACAAGCAGAAAAGTTTCGTAGTATGCCTAGTCACCCCATGAATGAAAGATTCCAAAATTTGGCTTTGGGATGACTAAAGAGAAGTAGTTTTATCCACCAGGCCAAACGGCTCGGCAGACAAACCACTGATTTACCTGCAACTGATAGATCCTTAAATGCTGTCCCAGAACGGACCCCCTGGAGAGAGGAGTATAAGTTTCCAATACACATCAAGACTGAAGTGAAAGGGGTATTTGACAAGGAAGAACAAAACAGTGTGCAGCGCAAAACAGCCACCCTCAGTCTACTTGATGATGAATACCCACATAATCTTTGGGTCCGTGTTTACACAGATGGGTCAGCAGAAAGCGCAGTCAGAAACGGAGGTGCAGGAGTGTACATTGAGTATCCTAATAATACCAGGGATACAGCCAAAATACCAACAGGAAAGCACTGTCACAACTATGATGCAGAAGTTCAAGCCATCAAGATAGCGGCAGAGAAACTACTAAATACAGGATATTTTTCACAACCAGTAGTATTCCTGACAGATGCAAAAGCGGTACTTCAGTCACTCCAGTCTGGAAAATTACCAAGCATACGGACACTATTATCCGAACTAGGCAATCGTTGTAATTTAGTAATGCAGTGGATACCTTCCCACTGTGGAGTTCCCAGAAACGAAAGAGCTGATAAACTAGCTAAGGAAGGTGCAACTGAAGAACAACCTGACATACCAGTCTCTTATCAACAGAAGAAGAGAATGATCAAATTAATCAGAATGCCACCGAAACTGGCACAAGACGATTACCATATTATGGACAGACCAGAGCAAGTCATTATCCTTCGCCTTAGAACAGGGCACAATCGACTTCGCTGCCACATGTACAACAAATTTAAGATTGGCCAATCAGCCATGTGTATTTGTGGACTGGCACCTGAAACAACAGATCACATCCTTCAAGTCTGTCCCAGATTCAACGCTTTCAGGCAAAACCTTTGGCCAAAAGAGACACTTGTGGAAGTCAAACTTTACGGGCCGCTTAGTGAATTACAAAAGACAGTGAAATTCATACAAGAGACAGCATTGCAGATATAGATAATTTATTTCATGCAAACGAAAGAAGAAGAAGAAGAAGAAGAAGAAATATGTGTGTGCATAAATATGTGTGTGTATAAATATGTGTGTGTATAAATATATGTGTGTATAAATATGTGTGTGCATAAATATGTGTGTGAATAAATATGTGTATAAATGTGCGTGCGCAAGTGTGTGTGTGTGTGTGTGTATATATATGTATATATATATATGTATATATACACACACATATGTTTGCGTGTGTGTATATGTATGTATGTATGTATATATATATATATATATATATATATATATATATATATATATATATATATATATATATATATATATATATATATATATATATATATATATATATATATATATATATATATATATATATATATATATATATATATATATATATATATATATATATATATATATATATATATATATATATATATATATATATATATATATATATATATATATGTGTATATATATATATATATATATATATATATATATATATATATATATATATATATACATATATATATATATATATACACACACACACAAACATATTTATATGCATATAAAGATATATATGTATATATTCACATTTATATATATGTGTGTGTGTGTGTATGCATGCATGTGGGTGTGTGTGTGTGTGTGTGTGTGTGTGTATAAAGAGTTTTCCCCCAACCTGTCTCCTTTATTTAAAATCAATATTCTTTATTTTTAAAACATAATAATTGTTAAGGCCAACCAGATGAACAAATGACTGGTGAAGTCTGATGTGTCGCCCAAAACAAGCAAATATAGGAGCTATGCTGCAAACAGGCACAGTGCAAACACGTCACTTGAACGAACTATGCTACAAACAGGCACAGTGCAATCACGTCACTTGAACAAACTATGCTGCAAACAGGCACAGTGCAATCACGTTACTTGAACAAACTATGCTGCAAACAGGCACAGTGCAATCACGTTACTTGAACAAACTATGCTGCAAACAGGCACAGTGCAATCACGTTACTTGAACAAACTATGCTGCAAACAGGCACAGTGCAATCACGTTACTTGAACAAACTATGCTGCAAACAGGCACAGTGCAATCATGTTACTTGAACAAACTATGCTGCAAACAGGCACAGTGCAATCACGTTACTTGAACAAACTATGCTGCAAACAGGCACAGTGCAATCACGTTACTTGAAACAAACTATGCTGCAAACAGGCACAGTGCAATCACGTTACTTGAACAAACTATGCTGCAAACAGGCACAGTGCAATCACGTTACTTGAACAAACTATGCTGCAAACAGGCACAGTGCAATCACGTTACTTGAACAAACTATGCTGCAAACAGGCACAGTGCAATCACGTTACTTGAACAAACTATGCTGCAAACAGGCACAGTGCAATCACGTTACTTGAACAAACTATGCTGCAAACAGGCACAGTGCAATCACGTTACTTGAACAAACTATGCTGCAAACAGGCACAGTGCAATCGTGTCGTTTGAACGAACGATAAACAAAAATAAAGCATAATAAACAATTGTTTACAATTAAATTTTTTTTTTGTAAAAAATGTGAGCCCTGAGAAATAATTTGTTTACAAAGAACAAACTGACACAAAAAAGTGCTACAGAGAGATGATACTGCAACACATGCAGAAATTACAAATATTTTAACTGTTAAAAATCCCAGCTGTTCAACTCTGAAACTTACTGCACTAGTTGATAGTACCACTTGATAAGATCATCCCACTGCTGATCTGTCAGCTGTCCCACCTGAAATCAAAGATATAAACATATGCAATTTGTGCTGCTACTTTGTTTCTTCTTGTGACCACACATGCCTGATTTACAACATAGTTGTACGCATGTGCTACTTATTCCACACATGGTCACTCACAACAAAACAAAAAAGAAAATTAGTAACAATGGAAATGAGATGCCAGAGTAAGGCTGTAGGAGCCGTAAATAAAATCAGGAATGATATCATAATAGAACAATGTGGCATAGAAATTATATTAAATTATATGCGAAGGCAGCAAATAAAATGGTTCGCTCCCATGGAGAATGTCTCACTATATAAGGCATACATAATGTCGGTTCCAACATTTATAGGGAATGGATGACGGTTGAGAACTTGGCTTTGTTGACCGTTCTCTTTGCCGTTTCTCCTCCAGTTTCGATGTTGCAAGATTGTGGAAGTCCAGTTTGCAGCCGGAGCTACTGAGTTTAGTGCTCAGGGCGGCACTAGGAGCTGTGATTAGCGGCTATTGACTAAGTTCCAGATTTGTACATAATGGCAATGATGGGTGATGTATTTTTCTTCATTGTGTTCCTGGAACAAGGCCTGTGCTTTAGCTGCTATTTATTTGCTGGCTGTGGCTAAAACTTGGCCGAGGACATGTTGAAAATGGTCAGGAATCATTTTAATCTACTCATTGCCCAGCTATTTGTCAAATGAAGTTGATTTTCAGCGATGACGCAGTGTGTTTAAAGAGGCATGCACCTTATGGTTACAGCATACACTTGAAGTATCCAGCCTATCAGACTCAATTTGTGACTGGAATCACTGGCATAGGCGGTTGAGCAATTATGGGCCAAGCTCGTTTGCTGTGATGCCGGAACCGTAACCATTAACTAACTAACATAAAAAAACAAGAGGGATGCAAAGTACAAAACAGACCAAGAACATGAAGGAAAGACAACAGAGACACTTTATGTCAGTACAATGTGTTGAAGGTGAAAGGAACCAGAAGTGCAAGAAGCAGAACCTCATATCTCTCTTGACATCTGAAGAGGTAAATGAGGAAGTGAAAAAGGGAAGAGTCTTTTGATTAAGTGACTATGTTTTAAAATTCCTCTTTATTTAATTCCAAACAGCTCCAAGTACGATTCTGACTGCCTGGGCAAGTATTCCCTTCTTAAAGGGCTGTTACTAATAATCTACAAACATTCATTAACTGGCGCCTGCTCAGAACAGAGGGATATGATATGGTAAAATCACTAATGTAGAGCTTTGGGAGAACTAGAATGTCTGTGCACTGGAACCCACAGGGGCATAGAAATAAAGGCAGACCAAAAAACACATGGAGAAAGGAACCAAAGAGTGAAGTTAAAAAGGCAGGGAGTACATAGGGTGAGTGGCATGTGACTGCGAAGGATAGAACGACCTGGCATGAGTTGTTTGGGAGCCTATGCTTCATTGGGTGTAAGAAAGGCAAAAGAAGAAAGGGCTGTTATGCTTTTGTGTATTTCACTTGATACTAGGGCTGTACTGAATAGTGATTTTCACTATTCGGCCGAACATGAATTATGGGATCGGCCGAACATGAATTGTGGGACCAACTATTCGGCCGAATACGAATAGTGTATCACCATCATCAGGTGACTTGCTGACTGGCGTGTGCAATCATTGCCTCTCCATAATCTGCTATCTTTTGCAGCATGTATCAGTTCATGTGCTGACACACCTCCGTGCCTTGCAACAATACTGTCAAGAATCTTCTATCGTTGTCTTCCTCTATCCCTCCTTCCACAGATCTTTCTAGTGGTCACCAAATGTTCCATTTTCCCTCTTCTCATAACATGGCTGAAAAATGATGACTGTCTCCTTCTGATGTCTGTGATTAGTTGTCTTCGGGCTCCCACCTCTTTCAAAACCAATGTTCGCTCTGCCGTTCGTTCGATGTAATTTAAACGCACCTTCATATTCTCGTTAAAAATATCTTCAGATTTGATTTTGGCGAAGAAACCCTGATAAAACCAAAAAATGCATGATCTCTCTCTTTCTCTCTCTCACACACAGACACACACTCACACACACACACTCACACATACACACACTGCGGTTGGCATTTTATGCAGTTTGTACCACGCAATCAGGTCGCAGTTTCCCCCACTACGACAGGCTCGGGCAACAGCAACTATTGTGTTAATGAGAGAGTTATTTCAGTCCATCACAGTGTATGCAGAAATGGGAGTAAGGTAACCACTATTCGGCCGAATACAGAATAGTTATTAGGTCCACTATTCGGCCCCGAAGTGAATACGAAGCGAATATTCAGTACTTCCCTACTTGATACTCATATTATGCTTCTTCATAATATGCTTTATACATAAAATACAACTGCAGTTTGAAATGTTTTTAAGGACTGAACGTAATTTGGGTTGCGTGCCCAATTTGTTACCTTTTAAAAATAAAGTTTGTTCTGTCATTTTTACTTACAAAGAACAATTCTACATTACCTGATCTGCAGTTTGTACATACAGCCCACATGGGCAAAGTAGGGAACTACTCTGACAAAGTCTATTAAGCTTGTACTGATTGCCTCAAATATACACTAAAGCTACTAAAACAGGTTGACATTAAACAACGAAGAAGCTCAAGAAATAAATTAGTACCAGAAAAAAAAAAAGTATAGACGTACTGGGCTAAAAAAAAACTGTTGTCACCACATGTTGTGTGTTGTGTAACTTGTTTTACATGCATTACTTTGAATGACGATGTTAGCTAGTTGCGTATCCTTTACAGGACGTTGCAGAATCAACCCAAGCTTATTTGGCTGTTGTGGTTTTTCTAGGCAAATTTACATCCAGTAGTTTGCCATTGCTTTCTGGACGGTTGGCTTCTCGATACCACTGTCGAAACCAAAGCAAGGCCTGCAGCTGGGATCGAACCCGGCACTAAGAAGCGCGTAAATGACGATGTACACTGAGAATTTGGAGAACACATTAAACCCCATAAACTAAGTCATTACAACAGCGACACGTTTAAAAATGCTATTTTATAACCATGGAAACCGCAGCTGTGTAGCGGCTAGATGCTCGCCTGCCGATCAGAAAGTCATGGATCAATATGCCCGAAGGTGTTAAAAAGCGCTCTTTACTTTTCATGTTATAGCCATGCTGATTAGGGCAATTCAGGTTTTGAACAACGTCAAGAATTAGGGACTGAAGATGGTCAAAGCTAAAGGTGCAGGACTGGACTCCATGCAGGTCACTGAAACAACTACCCAGGATAGGATGGAACGGAAGGAAAGACTGAGAGCTCTGTGGAATAATGGCACAACAGAATGATGATTATGATCATGCACCATTCTGGCAAGTCAGTAGAATGCTCCTTCCAAGCTTTTTCCTCAAACATATTCATGAGCAAAGCTTTTCCCCAAGCATATTCATGAGCAAAGCTTTTCCCCAAGCATACTTATGAGCAAAGCTTTTCCCCAAGCATACTCATGAGCAAAGCTTTTCCCCAAGCATATTCACGAGCAAAGCTTCTCCCCAAGCATATTCATCAGCAAAGCTTTTCCCCAAGCATATTCATCAGCAAAGCTTTTCCCTAAGCATATTCATGAGCAAAGCTTTTCCCCAAGCATATTCATGAGCAAAGCTTTTCCCCAAGCATACTTATGAGCAAAGCTTTTCCCCAAGCATGCTCACGAGCAAAGCTTTTCCCCAAGCATACTCATGAGCAAAGCTTTCCCCCAAGCATATTCATGAGCAAAGCTTTTCCCCAAACATTTATAAGCACCGCAAAGCATGTGGATGCAAGACAAGGCTGTTGTTTTTCTACCATCAGCAAACAAAAAGGCTACAACTGCAGTCTCAAAGCAGTCAAAGTTTAATCCTTGGAACATTTCAGAGCCCCATTCCTGGGAGGAAAAAATAACATGCCCTCTGCTTCCCTATCAAGCATGTCATACAAGGTGACTAATTAGAAGTGTGCTGAAATCTGATGTGTGCATGCAAATCTCTAGTTTTGTAATTAGATTTAAGTTCCACAAGTGGACGAACAACCATTGCTTTCCACCGAAGGTTACAGCCACCGAATGCTTAGAAGAACAGAAGGACCCTGATAGCTGTGCTGGCAGTCGTGTGGCTAGCAGCAGGTCTTCCCAAGCTCAACAGGTCAAGGGCAGAGAGCTGACAAGCAGAGGCGGCCTGGTCCTCCCGGTTGGAAGCTAAAGTGTGGAGCCCAGGTCAACCTTCGTAAAACTTCATTTCATCAAAAACCCAAATATAACCATGCATGATCACAGCACATTAAATACTGACAGGATCAGTTGTCATATGGTTCTGAAACCTGGAAAACAAGTGAAAGAGATGAAGCCTTATTATGTGTTTTTAAGAACATGGTCCACATGACAAATCTTTCAACCCATCAATTAGTGAGTGAAAAGCAACCCTACCCCCACCCCCCCAATAGTATACTGCCCATTACTGCTTTTATTATTCCACTTTTCTGGTGTATGTGGGGGGGGGGGGGGGGGGGAGGGAACGCTCTCTAAGCCAAAAGATTTAGAGCCGCATAGCTAGTGCTGTCGCCACGGACTGTGCAGGTGAGGATTTTATTTTTGCCCCCACCAGAAAAAAAAAATCCCTGTTATCGAGGATTCAAACCCGGGTCCCCCACATGAGAGGCCAGCATTCTAACCATTTGACCAGTCGCTCAAGTGAAAAGCAACAAAGCAATTCTTGTCTGTTTAATTCAACACTGAGCACTAGCATCAGGAGGTCAAAAAGACAAATGGCTGGGCATAGAAAGAAAATGGGAGATACCAAAGAGGCAAAAACTGTGTTCACAAAAGAAGTGAATTAGGGTTGACCACGAGGCAGACAGACAAAAGGTAATAGGCAGACATACCTACAAACACTTGGTGTAACTTACTGGAAACAGAGATGAATAGATGTAGGTGATAACTGCAGCAATGAACCTCAAGGGCTCAGAATGTTAAGGAAGAAGAAGAAAAATGTTTAATTTTCAAATCATACCTCCCTTGGCACATCTATATCCTCATGGTCTTTAGAAGCCAGGAATTTCTCACACTGATAAATTGCCGTCTCCAGCACTTGAACAGGGATGACATATCGTTGTTTGTTTTTCTTTTTTATGGCTGCCAACTTTGTTATTACTGGCTGGTCTGAAATCATAGTGTCAGTTAAAAGTCAGAAGTCTAATTTTAAGTAAAGTGTGAGTTTCATAGTGCAAACCTGGGCATCAGTGGAGGTTTATGTTTGTAATGCTTCCCAGTGTAAACCATGTCACCAAGAAAAAAGCCAGTTTTCAAACTTGTACAGTGGCGCGGTGATTTATGTCACAGGCGTGAGTCCAACATGATGTGTATAAGGAGATACTCCGTACGTCACTCAGGCGCCAGTCCTTTACTATCCTGGTTGTACGGAACCTCACGCAAGACCCCTACAGCACGTCCTCGTCGTGCGCCACGGATAATGTCTCAAATGAGCATTAACAGAGCTGTCAGGGGATCTCGGAGTTTGGCGGCCCCCAGAGGTGATGTGTCCTTGTGGCTCTCATCAGCCCGCCCCCAAACGCTTGGGTGAAAAATGTTATCAAAACTCGTTAGGAACATGAGTAGGTTAGACAAAAGTACAGCTAAAACTACAACCCTTGGTTAAAAGACTGCGGAGTAAAGAGAACATTGCTCAATGCTCATCCTTGGTTAATTCTCAGTGTCGTCGTTACCGCGCTGAGGTGCACCACAACAGCAACCATACATGGGCTGGCCATCCTTGTGCATCCTCGGTTGGCCCTCAGTGTCGTCGTCACCGCGCTGAGGTGCACCACAACAGCAACCATCCATAGGCTGGCCAGTCACGTACATCCTAGGTTAACCCTCAGTGTCGTCATCACCGCGCTGTGGTACACCACAACAGCAACCATCCATCGGATGGCTAAGCCTAAATGTCCGACAAAACTAGATCATACGGATCAAAATCTGACCATCAAAATTTGCACTGAACTGAAAAAGGCCGAATGTCCACACCCAAAGACCCCACTCGCCCGAGTGTTGGGACAAAACTGATAACGATATGCCTGATTCAGGATGTGAAATTCTGTCGGGCTAATGTACCTATCTGTGTGGTCACAAAAGTCCAAAACCAACGGGCTGCTCCCCGCTGACTTCCAGAGGGCGCAGCCCCTGTCGAGCGGAAGGCCTGATACGGTTGTGAGGTTAAGCAGGCATGTGCAGGACGTGACGATTCCTTGGGTGAGCCCAGAACCAGAGCGCCATGTGCCGGCTCTGCATGCATGGAAGCCTCCTTGGATGGCGGGGAAAGCCCATGATCTGCCCCTGCCTTCCCTTTAGGGCCAACTTCCAAGAAGGACGTAAGGAATTAACTTAATGTGGTAGGTAGGATATTCAGAACAACACACATAACAACTGTGAGATATTATTTGGGTGAAAAAAATTGTACGTGGGTGTGAGTGTGTCTCTCCACCTCTCTCCTCTCACTCTCTGGTCTTTGTAACATCACAATAAACTTATGAGGAGGTTACTTTGCTCTCTGTGGCTGTGTCAATAAAACCCCTGTTTTCTTGTTCAAAGGAAATGAAAGTTATATCTTTGCTCCAATTGTATTTAATGATTACTTCCCTTCATATAAAAATTTAAAAAACACACACACCTTTGTACAAAATAATGACACTTAATATGAAAAATGCATCTGCTTAGTGACTGAGAGGGAAAGGAGGTGGGGGAGGGGGGCTGTGAGCAAGCTTGTCCATCTGCTTGATGTCCATAGATTTCAACCTCCTGGATGCTTACAAACACTGATCAAGACTCCAAATTGCTTCTGCTGCTTCTTCTCTTTCTCAAGCTTCTCAGGGTAAAGGTTTTGGTACGTGTTTGCTAATAAAGTTTCGTCCTTTTCAGGACGAAATTTTTTGTCATTTGAAGCCCTACTCTGGCTTTTGCCAGGGGCCGCAATATAGGCAGGCCATAAATATGGCCAAATGTCTGAACGCGGTTTCTGGGACCTCTCCACGGTGATCCTCATCCACATGGTGGCACTTTGTGTCATCGGGTGTTTATCGCTTGTGTGATGTCCTGGTGGGGAAAAAAAAAAAAAAAAAAAAGTTTTGGAACTGATTGCTACCCTTAACCCCTTTGCCCCCTAAATGATTAAAAAAAATGGATCATAAAGAGTAGGAATATCCACCCAAAAAAATCCTTAAAAAAAATTTTTTTTTTTTAATAACTAATTAATTTTTAGTTTTTAAAAGATATAAAAGATGAGTAATCAATAAACAAGAACAAAATAAAGCATTAAATAGAATACATTCACCAGGGCCTAAAATAAATATTTATCAGGTGACCAAAACAAATATTTATCAGGTGACCAAAACAAATATTTATCACATGACCAAAACAAATATTTATCAGGTGACTTCTAGCAGTGAGGTTTATGGGGAAAATGAAAGTCAACCTGCTTTTAAAACAAATCATTGAATTCATAAAGAAAAACCTCGAAATGCTATATCTAGTCAATATATACACATCCAAGCCTCCTAAACACTATAAAGGTGCACACAGAGATAAGTAGTATTTAACTAAACTACTCAAGAACAGGCCACTGAAGATTTCAATTTAGAGAGGCTGTCTCACAACCATACTGAAGCCTTTTCTAGGCGATAGGGTAAAACAATGGCCAATGTTTAATTAGTTCGCTTGAATTTATCGCGATCTGGTATCTACTTTATTCTTGTAGAAATATACATTTGCATGCCATTGGTGAATTCAAGAAAGGTGAAAAAATACAATAAATGTCTGGACAAAACTGTTATCAACAGTAAAGGTAAAAGTAAAGTCGGAAGATGTGAACCAGCGTCACTGCACACGGTTATAAACTATAAGTGCTCTGCCACCAGTATGGAAAGCTGATAAAAAACTGTCCGCCTGTGTCGCCATCCTCATGCAACTCTGTAGCTACAGCGACATTCCTCCCTTTACCCTAGAGTGTTAGCTCTGGTACCCATTACCTAGAGACTGGGGAATCCCCTGTTACCACCCGGTTTCGTAAACCGGCTGTGGTTTGCAGCAGTCGCAGCTGGATTTTAAAACAAGTCTCCTATCGACTGCGCTAACGTGGCCCCTGTTATCAACAGTCATAAAACAAAGAAGATGGAGCTTATACAGGGCCCACCCTGAAAAGTAAGCAGAGAATCCCAAAACATGCACTGAAATAGGAAACAAATGTTTTCCAAACGAGAATGTCCTGGAACCCTTAAACAAACACTGATGAGAGAGGCCAAAAGTGTTGGACTAGATTCAATCTATGAAATCAAAAGGATTTTACAAAGTTAGAATAGATTTAGTGGAACAGACTGCAACCTCTATGGGTTCTTTATTGAAATCTTACCCCAGATGACGTCACAGGACAGTCTAACATTTTAGAGGTTGGTAAGACTGGGTTTCCTGGTTTTCTGATGCTTTTAATGACCCTAAAACATCTAGTACTGGCCACTTACGTCCCACGAGAGAGTGCAGCCTAGGTCCAATGACTGCATGCAGCCTATCTACCACTCCCTGAAATATTAGATTGTTCAATGACCTGTAGATTTCCCATGTTTGGGGTAGGATATTAATAAAGCACCTCTCTATGTGATGCATAAATGATGTATAAATTGTCAGTTACATAAATAATTTGCTTACAGTCTTCATCGATTGTTGTGTCCACAGTCAAGACAGGATTTTTGATGTCTTTAAATGTGCTCTCTTCAGCATCAGTCGTACACACACATTTGTCAGATCTGGAGCCGCGTCTCAATGTGCTGCAGTCTGGATTGCTGCATGACTGTCATGATTTATGACCAGAACAGGTTATCAGCAGGTTGCCAACAAACATTTGTGTTTCTTTTAAAAAAAATGATATGTGCCAATAAGTTATATAACAACCTATGTCACATAACGAAAATAATCAAACTCGACATTTCCCATAACAATTCTTCATAATAACCCTTGAAAGAAAATGTTCTTTTGTTATTTAACAATTCTATCTCGTTATAAAATGATACTAGATCAATATCATCACTGTCATAGTACACATATTGCCCAGTCTACTCCTCCATTCCTGTGCAGTTTGAAGTTTAAAGTTTGAACACAGGATCAACATCATGGAACACAGGTAGTAACCCATTAGTGCTCGATTCTTCTTCTAACTCAAGTCTGAGTCCAAAGAAGCTCAGCACAGTGCACAGGTTCTGTAGCACCGGCCAGGATCCTGAAATATTTTGGGTAGATTTTTTAACTCCAGATTTTTGCCCGGGCAGCGCCGTTAGGTTACTCTTTTCAATTTCAAACTGACAAGGGATTTTTTTTATGTGCACGATAATGCACACAGGTGACCGATCACACTATCCAGAGACCAGGGGAAATTACTAGAAGTCCATGTGAAAAAATCCCAGCCCCCACCAGGGATTGAGCCTGGAACCTCTAGCACTCAAGGCAGACACCATGCCTAGAGACCAGGCAGCACTTTGTGCATTCAATTCAAAATCAGGGATGGAGTCCAGTTCAGTCCAGCACCTCTGACCTCTTTCATCAACGTTCACTCACTGGTAACTGGTAATTCCCTGCTCATTTCTTGACAGGATTTGTCCAATATAGCGTCACCTTCTTTGTCTTGTTGCTGTTGTTAACCAATCAACATATCTATAACAATTCATTAAATAATTATAACCAGTGCATGTCTATGCCCTGTGAATTTTGCAGTCACTAAGAACATCCTCTGTAAACTACTACAATATAAAGAAGTGTGCAACATGGGGTGAACGTGAATGATACAGGTATTGAGGAAACAAAATGTCATGGACCGTGTTGCATGAAGGGGGCAAACCAGGAAGATAATGAGAAGAAGGAAGAAATGATTGCAGAAGGGATGAGAGCTGAGCGTCTGAGAAGAAAAACACTAAATACATATGATGACAATTAGAGTTCTGAAATCCCATACTATGGATCTTGCTAGTCACACTCGCCATTGCCATGGGCTGTGAGTTCCATGCCTCCTCATAGTGCAATAGAACACTATCATCTGGAAAGACGGAAAGGTGCCAGCAGTGTACCGTAAAGATCAATGACAGAAATCTTAACTGGTTATGAATGAGATGTAAGCTTCAGTGTATGTTAAACATACCTTTGTTGTTACTTAGGTATTGGTTTAAATCCACATTGAGCCGGATCTTTTTAAAACAAACTGATTTTGGCTACCAGGTAGACCTCAGCCTCAAATGGGTACCAGGTAATGTCATGGGAAGCAATGGCGGCCAGTGAGATGTTGATCACATAACCAACCAAGTGCCGACTGGTCTATTAAAATATTATTCTAGCCTAATGTGCTACAGGCGTAAAAGGGGTTTCTGTGCTTTTACTTTATGTTGGAACCCGATTACTTGTAATTTTGAGTTTCCCTATGTGTAGATGAAAACAATGATAACATACTGGAACTCTGCGCTGGCTGCTAAAGATGAGGACGAAGCACACATGGAAATGCTCCTAGTGCTGTGGTGTCAATTCTGAACTAAACTCAACTCAACTGATAACGTTTAGTTCTTCTTAATGTTACCTGGTTGTAAACTCTGGCGGAAAGATCACTCACCCGCTTCTGGTCTTTAGTCTGGCTTGAGAGCTTAAGCTTTTCATGCACATCCATTCAACAGATCTGGCTAAATTGAATGCAGACTATTGGTTCCTCACCTCTCAAGCATATGGCAGATGTATCCCAACTTCAAAGACCCCCCCAAATTAGTCGCCTCCTACGACATGCTTGCTGGGGGGAGCAGTGAGTCTATCCCCCCTCCTCTCCAAATGATGCCTCGGAACCCACACAGGAAGCATTTGGTTAATTTTAGGGTGACAGATTTTCCTGGTACACATGTAACAAGCCAACCTGTGTCTTGTTCTTGCCATCTTCTGGTATATGGTTCCAACTAGCATGCTGTCTGACTGCTACTTTGATTATGTTCATGCACGCTGTCAGACGATAGTCATCTGCAGAGATAGAAAATTAACCATAATTTCATCTGTTCAAATTAGAGACTAAAATAAACAAAAATTAGTCCACTGTGGCCTTGCAGAGCTCACAAAAAAGAGATATGAAGACTGTAAAGTAAAGGACCCTTTTCAGTTAAAGAAACGTGCTTTGTTAATATCCTAATCCAAACAGGGGGAAATCCACAGGTCACGGGACAGTCAAATATTTCAGGGGGTGGTAGAAGGGCTGCATGCAGTCGTGGGACCTAGGCTGCATGCAGTTGTGGGACCTAGGCTGCACTCTCTTGTGGGACACAGATGGGTTGGGGTTAGTGCCAGTTCTATATGTTTTGGGGTCGTTAAAAGCATCAGAAAGCCGAGAACCTGTCTAACCACCCTCTAAAATGTTGGACTGTCCTGTGACGTCATTTGGAGTAGGATATTAATAAAGCACCAAACAAACCTTTTACCCGCTAATGACTTATTGGACATATGGTGCTAGAGCCATATTTTTACAGACCATTTGGCATTTTATGGGTGAAGTGGTCAAGGACAAGCCAGTCACCTTGACTCTCCAAGACACTTCCTGATGTGAATGTTAAGATGTTTTGAGCTGCGAACCTAGGCCAATTCCACCTTGATGCAGACTTTAGCCCTAGACATTCAGGCTGTCTAGCCAGCTCTAGCTACTCTCACTGAAGTCTGTGGGTTCAAATCCGAGGAAGGTGTATTTTCCCCCCTAAAACACAATGAACCAAGGAGTTCGTCACCCGGTCACGGCGCAATCCGGTTTAGCCAACTACGCTAGAGAGCCGGGTGCCGATTGGTCTAGCACTATATATCCAATACAGCTGAAGCCGTGGAAAAGGGTCCTTTGCTCTACATAAAGACACTGGAATCTTTAATTGAGCTGCAACATTTATTTTATAAATCAGGTGCACTTTTTACTGATCCCTCTTCCTGGCATGGTCAACGACTGCTGCTGACAAGGTGCTCTTTAAGCAGTTACAAATACAGAAATAATGCTGGGTTTAGAGCATGTGGGTGCCACCACGGCGTAGCAACAAGATGCCTGCCTAAAGGTCGTGGGTTCAAATCCACAATTTTTTTTTTCAAAATGACTTTGGCTTCCAGGCTGACACACATAAAATGAGTACCAGACAAAGTCCTGGTAAGTAAAGGTGGCTAGCGTGATACTGACATCACCACGGCTAGCGTGATACTGACATCATCACGGCTAGCGTGATACTGACATCACCACGGCTAGCGTGATACTGACATCACCACCGTGTGACGACTGTTCTATAAAATATAGATCTAGTATTATATACCCGATACACATACAAAAGTTAGTTGCGTATCCTTTACAGGACGTTGCAGAACCAAATCCAACAGCCCCTGGCTGTTGTGTGGTTTTTTATAGGCAAATTTATGTCCAGTAGTTTGCCACTGCTTTCTGGACGGTCGGAATTCTTGATAACACTGTCGAAACCAACGCAAGGCGCATAGCCCGCAGCTAGGATCGAACCCGGCATCCCGGCATTACGAAGTGTTCGCATCATCTTAGCCACAGAGCTGACTACACATCCACTATAAAGCATGTGGAAGATTAAGAAGCAGATAGATTGACAACATCAATAGCACTTTACGAGACAGACTAAAAGTGCAATACACTTTGGCATTGTTTAACTAGCTACAAATCTTTTTCAAATTCACAAACTGGCAGAAAATCATGACAGCTGATCCACTTCTGGACTTATTCCAAGATCTGAGTGTTGCATGTACATCCAAATCTGGTTTAGCTGTGTGCAGACTGTTTCCTCTATGTGGGTTTGTTTCTTCCCGTTTTCCCAAATGGGTGGCTTTAACCCACATACGGATAGTAGATAATATAATAAAAAAGTAACGGTGAGAGGGTCGACTTTATTGCTTTTGTTTTTTGATTTTCTCTTCTCTCAGGCAGTTACACTTCAACTTCAAAGAAAACATCGATCCTATCTAAGTTGGCCAGGTCTTGGGTTGGGAAAACCAAGGCGAGGTGTCGACAGGTCTTGGCAAGTCTGTCCCCTGGTGCACCAGAATGTGCAAATCAGTACCTCTGCACCCCTAGTGATTAATCAAGCAAGAAGAATGGTTGGTTAGAGAGCATGAAGAAAACAAGCAGCAGGTGCTTTCAACTCACCTATAAATGCGTCTCTTTCCTCATCATGGCTGAGACGATAACATCGAGGGAAGAATGCATCGTGATCACAGTTATCAAACCAAACAACATTCTTCATATTGACACACAGTCCAACCTGGTTCAGAAAAACCAGAGGGGAGAATTATATTTGTACCAGGTAATTCAGAAGAATATTTCTTCTTCAGCCTTTCTAACCCCCAATGGAGCATAGGCCCTCAACCAACTCAGGCCATGTCGTTCTATCCTTCGCTATCGCATGCAGCTCTTCCCTATCTCCCTGACTTTTAAAGTTCAATCGCTAGCTCCCTTTTCCTTGTGTTTTTTTAGTCTACCTTTATTCCTGTGGGTTCCAGTAGTATTAAGATATTCTATTAATATTGTTCTCAAGCTTTCTCAACGTGTGTCATATCCAACATCTTCTTTTTACCTCTTGGTCCACTGGAGCGTGTAAGTTCTCTCCCAAAGCTCTACATTAGTTATTCTAGAAGAATGTTTAGATCACTTCAAAAACTCAAAGCTCATGTGCTAAGGGGCCATCAAGGGAATCAAACACTGTTTCCTACCAGGCATGCGGTAAGATACAATTAACAGTAGGGTTGGGCTTAGGGTTGGCGGCTTCATCATATACACCTCTTTTTGGCAGCATCTCACAAAGAGAAGTGGCTGGTTAAACATAATAACAGTGGGCTATCATACCGAAGATCAAGGTTCAAATCTTTGGCAAAGTTTTTCTGTTGAGGCAAAAATTAAACCCTAGCCTGCACAGCCTAACCTGCACAGATGGGAGTTAGCCTAACCTGCACAGCCTAACATGCACAGATGAGAGTTAGCCTAACCTGCACAGCCTAACATGCACAGATGGGAGTTAGCCTAACCTGCACAGCCTAACATGCACAGATGGGAGTTAGCCTAACCTGCACAGCCTAACATGCACAGATGGGAGTTAGCCTAACCTGCACAGCCTAACATGCACAGATGGGAGTTAGCCAAACCTGCACAGTCTAACCTGCACAGCCTAACCTGCAGTCTAACCTTGTTAGCCTAACCTTGTTAGCCTAGCCTGCACCGCCTAACCTGCACAGCCTAACCTGCAGTCTAACCTTGTTAGCCTAACCTGCACAGTCTAACCTGCACAGCCTAACCTGCACAGATGGGAGTTAGCCTAACCTGCACAGCCTAACCTGCACAGATGGAAGTTAGCCTAACCTGCACAGATGGGAGTTAGCCTAACCTGCACAGCCTAACCTGCAGTCTAACCTTGTTAGCCTAACCTGCACAGACTGCAGTTAGCCTAAACTGCAGTCTAACCTTGTTAGCCTAACCTGCACAGTCTAACCTGCACAGCCTAACCTGCAGTCTAACCTTGTTAGCCTAACCTTGTTAGCCTAACCTGCACAGCCTAACTTGCACAGCCTAACTTGCACAGCCTAACCTGCACAGCCTAACTTGCACAGCCTAACCTGCACAGCCTAACTTGCACAGCCTAACCTGCACAGCCTAACTTGCACATCCTAACCTGCACAGCCTAACTTGCACATCCTAACCTGCACAGCCCAACTTGCACAGCCTTACCTACACAGCCTAACCTACACAGCCTAACTTGCACAGCCTAACCTGCACAGCCTAACTTGCCCAGCCTAACTTGCACAGCCTAACCTGCACAGAGTGCTGTACCCCTAACCTTGTTAGCCTAACTTGCACAGCCTAACCTGCACAGCCTAACTTGCACAGCCTAACCTGCACAGCCTAACTTGCACAGCCTAACCTGCACAGTCTAATCTGCACAGCCTAACTTGCATGGCCTAACCTGCACAGCCTAACTTGCACAGCCTAACCTGCACAGCCTAACTTGCACAGCCTAACCTGCAGTCTAATCTGCACAGCCTAACTTGCATGGCCTAGCCTGCACTCTAACCTTGTTAGCCTAACCTGCACAGCTTAACTTGCACAGCCTAACCTGCACAGTGCATGGCGTCTGCACTAGCCATGCGGCATTAAGTCTAAAGGCTCGAAGACACCCACCCCCACCCCTCGCCTGCTTAGCAAAAGTGGTAAATACAGTCAGTAATGGCAGTTTCTATTTTGGTGTGATCCCACATGGACACATGACACACTATATGGCAAATAAGATATTTTCTCACCATAATTGAGGAATGACACTATGCTATCAATGTCAAAACTGGTCAGTCTTCAGAAGACAGAATGAAAATAGTCACAAAAGAAATGAAATGTTTATGTAAAATGCTAGATGTCACAAGGAAAGATTGACTTATGAACGATGATATCAAGAGGAGAGTCTGCAGTGAATACAACACTGAATTCCATAGGTAGAAAACAAATCAAATGGTTTGGCCATGTAACAAGATTAGCCTTAGACAGGGCACCATAGTGAGCAAAGTTACACAGATACAGCTGTAACATAGCCCATAGTGAGCAAAGTTACACAGATACAGCTGTAACATAGCCCATAGTGAGCAAAGTTACACAGATCGAGCTGTAACATAGCCCATAGTGAGCAAAGTTACACAGATACAGCTGTAACATAGCCCATAGTGAGCAAAGTTACACAGATACAGCTGTAACATAGCCCATAGTGAGCAAAGTTACACAGATCGAGCTGTAACATAGCCCATAGTGAGCAAAGTTACACAGATACAGCTGTAACATAGCCCATAGTGAGCAAAGTTACACAGATACAGCTGTAACATAGCCCATAGTGAGCAAAGTTACACAGATCGAGCTGTAACATAGCCCATAGTGAGATAAAGTTACACAGATACAGCTGTAACATAGCCAATAGCGAGCAAAGTTACACAGATACAGCTGTAACATAGCCCATAGTGAGCAAAGTTACACAGATACAGCTGTAACATAGCCCATAGTGAGCAAAGTTACACAGATACAGCTGTAACAGAGCTACCAGGTCAATCATGTAGAAGTTGGACCACAGAAATATCAGAGACACTGAAAAGTACTTCATACGAAGTGAACCGAAGGGCCTGTTCCAGAGATCTCTTCCTGCCCTGATGCCAGGAGGCATTCCAGAAGTAGAGAAAAGAAAAAGAATAATACAAAAATAAGTTTCTAACAGAAAGTGATGGCTTAATAAAAGCAAGAAATGTATTAAATTAATCAATCAGGCCACCCCCCCCCCCCTCCCCCCCCCCCCCAACAATGGTTTACCACACTGAAGCTCCAACACGCTGTCTTTCACACAGGATGTACACTCACTCAAATTACCAGTCACGAATCTCTTTTTTTTTTTTACCCTTCCATTTGTACCACTGTCTACCTCTTGCCATCAGCTTTTCAATCCATTATGATTTTTATGAGTGTTATGTCTTTTAATATAAACTCAAATATTTCACTTGTAATTACAGAACAAATCTGTGCAGACCTGACAAAGAAAACACAACTTTTTTTTTTTTTTTTTTAGCTGAATGTGACCAGCCAATATCCATCCTCAATATTAAGTGATTTACTCCAATAAATAAGCAGTTACATAAACAGACGTTATATCACCTTTGTGGTAAATGAGCCAGCTTTACAATAGTGATTGACCATCTGATCTTTTGTGAGGTAGCGGTAATCGATAGCGTCTCGCTTCAGCACCCAGAATAACGAAGGAGTAACGTTGCGTACCATTCGGGACTGCATTTGAAAACATGTTATTTATGTAATATTCATAAATAGTACTTATACAGCATATCACACAAAATATATTAAATTATGTGGGGGTCTCCGTGGCGAAGCGGTCAAGCCATTTGCCTTGAGCTCTAAAGATGGTGGGTTCATTTTACAGCGGCATCTTCGGTTCACGAGTGCAATTTTTACTGAGATTCCTGAAGATCTATGGAGCTATGGAGGTGGTGCTCTGTTTGACACTCTCCACAGGCAGCTATCTATTCTGTTGAGAGAGACTGAGCCATATGGGATAAAACCCACAGCAATAAAGTCGATCTTCTCACCTCTACCTTTTTATTATATTATGTGCCATCCGTATGCGGGTTACAGCCAACCATTTGGGAAAATGGGAAGAGACAAACCCACATAGTTTATCGACTAACTAAATGATGAAACCTAATAAGCACAAATACATAAAACAAGACTGGTAAAAGGACCTTTCTCCACACCCTTAGGCATATTGGGTATACAGTGCTAGACCAATGTTTTATAGACCAGTCGGCACTCTTTGTGAAACAATGTCTTATCCAAAGATAAACGCCTGGCTCGCTGGCATAGTTGGCTAAACTGGACTGCGAGGTGACCGGGTGACGAACTCCTTGTGGTCCGGGTTCACGCTTGGGGGTAGGCATAAAAGCCACATTTCTCCCAGATTTACGGTATTTATCATGGAATCAAGACCGAAGGGTTGTGATATCCATAATACAGAGCCTAAGGGTTAAAAACTAATGGTTTCTGGATACTAAAAAAAAAAAAAAAAAGACAAACAGCCAAAAAGAAATATCAACTGGATATGAACCAAGAAAGAATGCAAACACTCTATACCATAATTCCATATAAGCCATCATCTTCTTCCCAGGGTGGGATTTTGGGCTGGTCATCTGAAACACAAAGAAATAAATTCTGAAATGCAGTGGCATGCAAAGTCAGCTTTAGTCAAAAATATTTCACATGCCTCGCCAGACTACTGTCTTGACATCGACCCGGCTGCCACGAGATATGAAGATAAGTGATGTTGTATATTTGTGTAGTATTGTCTATTCTGTGTATGTGCTGAAGAAGGTTCCATAGTCGCAACGTTCACATTTTGTTTGTGTTTTTTATTTTTTGGTGAGAGTGGGGGGTTGCGTGGCCTTGAGGCATGGTCTTCACCTCAAGTGATAGAAGTTCCGGGTTCAATCCCTGGTAAGGACTAGGATTTTTTCACGTGGACTTGACTTCTAGTAATTTTCTCCTGGTCTCTGGGTAGTGAGATCAGACACCCGTATGCATTGCTGTGCACGTAAAAAATCCCTTGGCAGTTGGAAATTGAAAATAATATCCTTGTGGCACTGCTCGGGCAAAATTTGGAGTTAAAAATCTACCCAAAGTATTTCAGTACCCTCGCCGGTGCTACAGAACCTGTGCACTGTGCTGAGCTTCTTTAGACTTAGACTTAAGTTAGAAGAAGAACGAAGCCCTCATGGGTTACTACCTGTGTGCCTTGATGTTGATCCGTTATCAAAAACCTCAAACCTGTTATATGGTGAAGCTCGCTGATATACTTTTCGTTTGGTTTTATATCTTTTATAGTCAAGTAGTTAGTCAGTTGAGATTCTAACTTCATGGCAAACAGGTCACCCCAGATTTTCTCCATTCCTGTGCCAGTGGAAATCAAACAAATCCTCTTCAATGTCCCATTTGAAAGCTGCTGGAAAAACAGAGCAGTATTATCAAAATTAAGAAGCTCGCACATTCAAATTAAATGCACAAGGCAGCGGCGAGATGTGTCATCACTTACTCAGCTTTTAAAAGTGTCAACAAAATATGCTTGTAGTCTATGCTATGGCTTTAATTCAGTGACAGTGATTGCAAATCATTTTATAGTATGTCTTAAGTGCATCTTATTTTTCTTTTGCATTTGCCCTGGAAATGGCATTTGGCACATTTTAATGTGGTGTACAACACTTAAGCTCGCACATGCAAAGTAAATGCACAAGGCACCTGCGAGATGTGCTAACCCTTACTCAGCTTTAAAAAGTGTCTACAAAATATGCAACTCTATACAGTTTTGAAACCTACACCCGTAGTTACATACAAAAAGTTAAAAAGAAAGTAAAGGACCCTTTTCCACGCCTTTAGGCTATAGGACGTATAGGGGTAGACCTATACTTTTATAGACCAATCGGCACAAGATGGGTGATGTGGTCAGCATCACGCTGGCCGCCTCTACTTCCCGGGACTGCACCCGATACCCACTCAAGAGTTACATATAGCAATTCTAATATTATTACAATTTTAGCATATGCCAGTGACAGCTGGAGAACTACAAAAGATGTGGAACCAAAGTTTAATATGTTTGAAAACAAATGACTCAGGAAACTGATGATTTTTAAATACCATGAATTGGGGAAAGGTACAGAAATCAGAGAAATGTCTGCATAACTGCTGTTACATACAGTTATAAAAGAAAGGCAGTATATGGGCATGTTCTGAAATGAAGAAGACAAAGAATTGGCAAACAGGCTCAGAAATGGAAAACGAAGATTAAAAAAGTGAGGACATACAAGAAAAACTCTAAGACGAACGTTGGTGAGAGGTCAAAAGTACCAGCCTGGATTCCACACTCTACGAACAGGACACTGCAGGTTCAACTACCACATGCAATAAATAAAGACTACAATCCCCACAGTGTGCCTGTCAAACAGGACCACAAACACCTGAGCACATTCTGCAGACCCACCCACTCTACATACAACTTTGAAAAGACACCTGACCTCAAGAGCAAAGTGTGCAGAGCAAGCTATGGGAAACCATGAAGGACCTGCAGCTGACATGTGAGTTTATAGAAGCAATCCACTTGGTGGTCTGATCTGAGCATACGAAACCGAACGCAAAGAAGAAGAAGGATTCCACCTCAAAATAGAAAGGATTGTAGGATATAATGGAATGGAAGAATCTACTGCAAATCCTATGTGCCTAAATACTGGCACAATAGTATGATGAAGATGTGAAACCACAATAGCAGAATTTGTCCAATCATTGTTTTCTCTTCCATCTTTGCGTACAGAGGTCAAATGTCAAGGCTTACAGCTCTTTTACAAATTCATCTTATAATCTGTACAAAGATTACGTAATCTAATTATAATTAATATATTATAGCTCATTATTACAGCACACTATTAGGATTAAAATGCAAGAAAAATAACTAAAATAGACACAATAAGGCCACATGTAATAAAAAATAGGTCATCGAAATGTAATTTCATAACAAGCTGCAACATTTGAAAACAAATTAACCGGAACTCCATTTAATCTAAAACTGCCCACTTTTTATCAGACTTGTGAAAAACAAAAAGAAAAAGCTAGCAAATACAGAAACACAGATATTAAAAAGTTACCAACTCTCCAAAAATTAATCATAACATTATATAAAAACATTAATCAATTATATCAGAAACACAACTATGCACGTAAAGTAATTGTTTAAGAAAAAGGAAATAATAAATAGTGAAGATATCTCTGTGTGGGGTTCAAGGGCCATTTCAAGGGAAAAAAGAACAGAACCACTGCCATTCAACAAGTGTTTCATAAAAGGCGACTAATTAGGAGTTATGCTGAGATCAAATGTGCGGTTAAAAGGCACAGATATCACAGCCTAGTTGTACACCACAACAAAATGTGCCAACTACCTTTTTTTTAGGGCAACTGCAAAAGAAAAATAAGGTACACTTAAGACATACTATAAAGTGATAAACAGTCACTGTCACTGAATAAAGCCATAGCATAGACTACGAGCAATACGAAAACAGCGCTCAATCTGAAAAACACACATGAGGAATAGAGAGCATTAAAGAGTTCAAGAGTATGGTAAAACAGCTTATAACAAGTAATGCACATATGTAGGTAGGTGCACAGAGAAAGGGTTTCTGGTCAACAGGGTGGTTAGAGAGGTTTACTGTTTTTAGTCCTGGCAATATTTTGCTGTAGCATTTTCCTCCATATCTAGACAGAAAGGATATAGTTCAATCAACTAGCCAGTGGGTTGAGTGCATGGGGCAACACTGTGAACTGGAGATTTCATTCTGAATGCTTTCTGATTGTGCCTAACATGGTTTGTGCTTTGAGCTGCAGATTCACAAAATGGTGAGTGGCCTATTGCTAGAGAACTTGAGGTGTCTTATGTGATTAACTGTGTGTGCAACTACTGATATATTGCAACTGCTGCTTCCATTGATAATAAACTGCATTTCTAGTTTTGTACTGTTGGTGTTGACAATTCTGACAGCTGCTTTATTTATTTATTGCGTGTGTATGTTGGATTTGCTAGTCCGTGTACATTTTTTCACAAGTGACAGTGATATACATGAGGTGTGTGGCTTTCATTGGCAAAGGAACGGAGCAACTATGGGGTGACCTGTTTGCTATGAAGCAGGAACTGAGATTACCTTCTCTAACAAGCATGTCATAAAAGGCAACAAATTATGATTTTTACCCCAGAGTTGTTACACAACAGCCTCAGAGGCAAGAAGCCAATAGTCTGCACACAAGTAAGCCAGATATGTAAAACTGACGTGCTTGCAAAATTCCAGTTCTGGAATAAGATTAAAGTCCAGATGTAGACGAACAACAAGAACTTTCCGCCAGAGTTTATATCGGTGAACGCTAAGAAAAAGCCAAAATGAGAGAGAGAGGTTCAATATTTAATCATACCCACACTTAATCCAACACTGTAATGTTGGTATCTTCCCACAGGGATTCTCTAAATTATGATATAGGAGTAAACATGAGATGAGAGAGAAATACATGAGAATGTGAATACTCGTAGAAACACCAGATATACGAACGGTGCTAAAGCAAGCATATGAAGCTCAGGGAGAGGGTTATAGCATTAGACGAAGAGCTAACCTGTTAGTTTGTGTTTGGCAGCTGTCGTGAAAGGTCGTATTTGATAGAAGAGTGAATGTGACATTGTGTAACTGAAGATGATTCTATTCCATGAGAGGACAGCCAGATGACCGTCTAACCAGAAGTTGTAGCCGACAATATCCAACCGGCCAGGGAGTCTAACAGTCATGATCAGAGATTCTGGATCAACCATTGTGTGTATCGTGTGTGTAATGAAACAGGACTGTAAGGTAAAGAGTGTGGATGGTAGTTGACTTTGATTCTGTACTTGATAATCGTTATCATCTCTTGTTGGACCTGCTAGCCAGTGGTAGACACTGACTAGACCAGACTACCTTTGAAAGTTGAATAAACAATATAAACGGACATCTTGTCTACTTGTTACCAACTGCGTGCATTCAGAATGTCTTCCATGTCATAGATATTAAAAAACCATAGCAACCAGCTAGCACACTGAGAAGACAATATTTCTTGGTTTGTGGCCTAGCTATATGAATGCCTGACACTTCCCAGCCTATCAGTGCAGCCCCAGTGTCCACCCAACCTCTTGTACACCCAACCTCATAAACACCCCAACCTCATGAACCAAGAAAGTTTTCAGAAAGGAAACTGTTCTGGAAAAATAGAAAGGTGGCAAGAAAGAGCATTAGCCACCAACCTTGTTATGTTATGGTCCATGCTTGTGTGTTTTTTTTCTTGGTATTCTTTATATGCATATGTAAATGATCATATCATGCTTTATTGATAATATACAACTGCTGTGTGAAAGGTTGATGTTTGGAATGGTTAAATGTAAGATGGGAAAGCATCCTAAATTTGTAACCCTTTGAAAATAAAGCTTGTTCGTTTTGGATCTAGAAAAAGAATGGAGATCTAACACTTCACAGCCCAAAAGCACTATGTGTTGCAGTGTCACCTGGTGTGGAGAGGAGTGATCAAAGTGGCCGAGCAACAATCACATTTGGGTAGATTTGTCTAATAACTTTAGGTCATCAGTGTAGAGACTGGCCAGCAGGCGCTGCAGAATCAGAAATTTAACAAATGATTCAGGACAATTCCCAACAAGGTGATTTGATTATCTATATCAATGGCTCTTTAATGAGAGGCAGAAGAAGTGCATGAGGGTTCATAGAAAAAAGTAAATGGACAACCCTCAGTGTAGCAAAGCCTGGCATAAGATATCACAACATAAAGTTTCATAATGGAGGTAGAGGCAGTCACTGCAGTCTTCCATTGGCTTGAGAACCAGCTGCACACACTTGCTGTGATTTAAACTGACTCAAAAAGCATGCTGAAAAAGGTTAAGATAGGTAGGCTTCATGCAGATTGGCAAGCATCACATCAGAGATCCAGAGTATTTAACATCCTTTAGATATTTTCTTCAGGGTATGCAGGTATGTTATGAAACAAACAGGCAGACAGACTGGCTGGCTGGCTCTGCACCACTCAGTGATAAACTGATACATTACAAGCTAGATGTCATCATGGCTTTTTAGAAGCTAGTGAACAGTGCAGAGGCACAACGGGAGTGACAGGGGTTCTGGCTGACCTCCAGAGGGTAGACAAGATGAACATTCCACTGGTACCACTGCAGCTGGAACCCTTTTCTCGCTGCTGACTATGTGGACAAAGAACTTATGGGAACGACCCGAGTGCTTTGGTGTTGGTTCTTGAAATTCAACCCAACTATTTCCTCTGTAAACAATCATGTGGAAATACTTCACAGCAAAACTGTAGTAACGTTTCTGAAGTTCTAGCAATTAGCAACCAACAATAAGTACTGCAAACATAAACGGGGAAAACCCAACAATTTATAATTACCTGCTTGAGCTGCAACTGAAATTTGTGAAACAGCAAAATAAAATGTTACATTCACTCTTCCTAATTGTAACTGTGTGTTTATGCAAATTGTAGCAAAAAAGAAATTTTGAAATTTATTACATCCAAATTACTAATGCAATTAGATAAAAATTACTAATATTTTATAGCCCAGTTTTATTTATTCTTGTTATGTTAAACCTTAAAGAGGCAGTTGGTGCACTGTGTTGTTGTAGACAGCTAGGCTGCAATATCTTTTAGCCCAGCACATCCAATCTCCGTAAAGACTTGATTAGTTGCCCTTTATGACAAGGCCCTTTGGCAGCAAGTGAGCAGTGCAGAAGCTCAATTAGATGGTCTGGAGAGAATGGTGGAGGGGGATCTGTCAGATACCCAACACTCAGAGAAAAGGCACAAAGGACAATCAATCTGATTGCTACTAGTACCATCAGAATTGGAACTCTTTGCTGGCTGCTGAAGACGGATGGAGAGCCAGGCACTGTGATTAAGTCTATTTTTCGCCCAGAAAATAGGGGCCCTGGAACCTACACTGGGAGCAAGAAATTGTAATCAAGTACACTCTCACTTGGGAGTTGCCGTGGTGTAGCGACTAGATGCTCGATTGCAGATCGGAAGGTCGTGCGTTTGGGTCTTGACGGAGCCAGACCTCCCCCCCCCCCCAAAAAAAAATGACCCATTCTCCTGGTTGATATTGCCTAAAGTTGGTACCAGGTGCAGTCTTGGGAAGAAAAGGTGACCAGCAAGATGCTGACCACATTATTTACCATGTGCCGATTGGTCTATAAAATATTGGTCTAGCCCTATATGCCCAAAATGCCTAAAGGTGTGGAAAAGGACCCTTTACCTTTTTACACTCTCACCTTGGTTTTACAAATTTCCACTTAACAAATACCAAAAGCAAGTGACACGATCTGAAGCAGCTAATTTGGTATTTTTCAATTTAGAAGTCATGCCTGCTATAGATACAACTACAGCATCAATGAAAGGGGAGCCGAGGCTTCAACAGCTAGCTGCTGCTTGTTGATGCCAGCTTTCACTGTTTGCATCACTGGTGGTGACACTGGTGCTGTATTGCCGGACATTTTTCTTATTTTTTTTTTTTTAAATAAGTGTTTTAACTCTTTCAGGATGACATTTTTTCTGGGGTTTGGATCTAAATTATTTTTTTTTAATCACAAAATAATGCACCAACCACGAGGAGTGTCGCAAATGAAAGTACTTCTTGTTTTTAATCCTAATTGTTCAAAATCTTGTTCATAAAAGTTTGTTTTCCCTACAAACGGAAAAAAATTAGAATGTCTCTGTCATGATCCAGTAAACTGGCTATACGTCTATAAGGGATAGACTTAATCGCCAGTAAACTGGCTAAACGTCCGTAAAGAGTTAATAATGAAAATCACTGAATGGATCCGCCCAACTGGGTGGTAAATTGATACATGACAAGGCAGATGTGGTCAAGGCCCTTTGGGAAGAAGCAACAGGATTAGTAGAGAAACAAGATTATTATGGCCTGGAAAGAATGAGGCACCTGGGTGTAACCAGAGGGTCTGGCCGGCTCACTACACTTAGAGGAAGGGCAAGGCGGACATATAACCAGATTGTGACCGGTACCATCAGTATTGGAACTCTGCGCTGGCTGCTGAAGATGAGGACGGAGCATGCATGAGAATGTACGGAGTCCTGTGAGGTCAATTCTTGACTCAACTCAATGTATCACTGAAAAAGACTCTATTCTTCTTCCTCTTAGCATTCAGTCTGAAAATAATTTCACAGATCTGGCTTTTTTGTATTCGGATTGCTAGTTCCTTGCTGCTCAGGCAGATGCACTCTGACTTCGAAAGAAACACCCCTAATTATAAGGCCTTTTATGACATGCTTGTTGGGGGGAGAGGGGGCAGTGGATCTGTTCATTTTCTCCCCTGAAATGGGGCCATGGAATCCACACTGGGAAAATGGGAAAATACATTTCTACAATCATGCTTTTTGGGGAAGGGAGGGGGGGGGGGGGGAAGAGAGGAGAAGAGAAGAGGGGAATTTACAAAAAGCATGTGTTGATTTTTTTTTTTAATGTGTCATTTGAAAAATGAAGTATGAGTGTACTTACTATTTAAAAAATGGTAGGATTACTACAAAGACACTTAGCAACAAACTCTTTACGACAAACACTTATTTCTAACATTTTTCACAAAAATGACTTTCGATCTCCGTGGATAACGCCATAAATTGTTTAGTTTTCTTCCATAGATCATGTAAGAAAAATCTCCACAGTACAAATTCTACTGATCTGACATGGATGCATATGTGTATATATGCAGGGACGTGTCAAATTAGACTAAGTTCCGTTCCGTCTAACACGTCACGAGTCATTGGCTGTAAGTCCAATTGATATTTTTCAACATTATTTTAATTCAAATGAGTAAAACCTGTATCTATGCAAGTAAATAAATTGTTTATAATGTGAAAAATACACAATAGGTACTCTACTGCATCAGTTCCAGGAACTTACTGAGCCTACCAATGTTGTTATCTATCTTTATTTAATACTTTTATTTCCCAATTTCTTGTGAGGTCTTAAGTGCAAATGCTTGTTCATTCGCAATTGTCATAAGCTGAGAAAAAAGTATATATATATATATGTGTGTGTCTGTATATAATCATCATCATGTAGCAGGTCCTTTGCAGAACGTCGCTCTCATCACAGTCTGCCTGAAAGAAACTCGGTCTCTCACCAGTTCTCCCACCTCATGCATTTTCACATTCAAGGAGTCACCTATATCCCGTGCCCATCTTCGTGTCGGTCGGCCCCTGCCCCTCCTTCCTGGTACCACACCTTCTACTATAATTTTTTCCAATCCATCGTGGCGCTTGATATGACAAAAATATTTCAGCTTTCGAGAAAGGATGCTGTTTATTAGCCAATCTTTCTTGATGTTCAGATCTTTTAAGATGTCAATATTTCTCATCTTCTTTGTCCAAGATATTCTCAGAATCTTTCTATAACATTTCAGCTGAAAATCCCCTATTCTCTTTCTCAAGGACTGAGAGATAGTCCACGACTCACATCCGTATGTAGCCACAGGGAAGATGCATGCTCTCAAAATTCTAATTTTGATCTCCTTGCTGGTGCTTAACCATAGACTTTTAAGGCTGTTCAATCTTTGCATTGCTATGGCCATCCTCCTTTTAATTTCTGTCGAACAGTCTCCAATGTTGTTTATTATAGAGCCTAGATATTCAAAGTTTGTGACATTTTCAATTTTTTCATCATTTATTGTTATTTTTGGGTGACAGCTAGTTTTATCTGTGGACTTTATTTTCGTTTTCTTTAAATTCAAGAACAGATTTTGTTCTTCACTGTGCTTTTGGACAGACAATATTAAATTGTCTATTCCCTTTACGCTGTTCGAAGGGAGGACTGTATGTCTGTGTATATATATATATATATATATATATATATATATATATATATATATATATATATATATATATATATATATATATATATATATATATATATATATATATATATATATATATATATATATATATACACACATATATATATGTATACACACATATACATGTATGTATATATGTATGTGTGTGTGTGTGTATATATATATATATATATATATATATATATATATATATATATATATATATATATTTACATACATATGTATGTGTTTTATGTATATATGTGTGTGTGTGTGTGGGTGGGTGTATGTGTGTGGGTAGGTGGGTGGGTGGGTGTGTGTGTGTGTATGTATATATGTGCATACATAAACAAAAAATATACATAAATATTTCTGGGTGAGTATTCTGACCCTGAAATTTTGCCTGGGTAGCGGTGCAGTAGCATAGTTCTAACCTGCATCAAGTCAGATTAATAATTTTTTTTTAAAGAGGGGAATAACATATTCAAACAAGAAAAATTGGATGTTTAGGCTGGAGCCTTTCTTGACAAAAACCACAGATTTCTCTTGTGTGTGTCAATTGTCCATCTTTTATTAATTATTTTATTCACCAATCCGTAGATTCTTGGAAAAATAAACCTCTCTTAAAAGCCACCAATGGCCCTTGGCAACAAAATTATAGCAAAACTGTTACCACAATCCACAAAAGAAAAATTATCTCTGTTCCAAGTATATACAACACATAGTAAAAACAAATCTAAGGCACTTACAAAACATTATGACAAAAGTAAGTGAAAAAAAAAGTAAAGATCTCTTTTCATGCCATAGGCGTGGGAAGAGTATATATGGGAAGAGCATCTCATATTTGTACAGACCAATCAGCACTAGATGGGTAATGTGGTCTGCAATATGCCAGCCATCTCTACTTCCCCAAGACAGCCATCCGGGTACCCATTTTAGGCTGGGTCAACCTGCGACGCCCCATACATGATAAAAATCCACGCATCCAGTGGTGGGTTTTGATCGTGGTACGTTGGAATTACTAGTAAGACTTGCAACGCTTAAGCCATGGACGCCGCAAACATGACAACTGGAAAAAAATTTAATTTATAATGAAAAATCCTGCAGTTCCTCAATAACTATGAAACAAAGCCAGTACCACTAAATAAGAGCACTAATATTATTAAACCAACGAGCTACAGAATGATCACTCACTCACACGTCTAATATCAACTTACTATCAACATCATCATCATCATCATCAACATCATCATCATCAAAATCATTATCATCATCATCGGAGCCTTTCTGCTTCTTCAGCTGTGGTGTTTTCTTTTGGGGCACTGGAATTTTATAGAATTTCTCAACCCAGCCACGTCTCCGTAAACTATGGCGAATGGTAGAGTAGCCACCTTGGATTGTGAACACTTTCTTCAGCTGAAAATGATTGAAGCAATAAAAAAAATTTACTTCTTTTATATTGTTTCTTTTTTTCAAACTTGCAACAACAACAACTGCTGCTGCTCTTCTGCTTCTTCTTCTACTACTACTACTAATACTACTACCCTCAATGCGCCTTTGCATGCAGTATAGGTCCTCAACCAACTCATACCAAGCCATCTTTTTATTTGTTATCACATGCATCTCACACCATGTCCTCCCCATCTTTTGATCTCACTTTCTAGTTCCCTTCTCCATCCATTTTTAGTCTGCCTTTATTACCATGTCCCTGTGAGATTCTAGTTATAATGTTCTCAAGTTTTTTCACCATATACAGATTGTAACTGGGGAGAAGCAAATGCCGATAGGCTGGCTCAGTGGGTAAGATAGCTGCATGTGGGTTGTATAGACCTAGTTCATTTCATGGTCCAGCCTTGTTACCTTATTTTTTTTTTTTTAATGACTGTGAGGTTTAACCCATGACTAGCAGGGAAGTATAGTTGCGCCCCTAACCCTGTTATCTCGGTAACGCTAAAGATATGGGTTATGATCCTGTGGGAATCCACACCCCCCCCCCCCCCCAAACCGCCAAAAAAATCCCCCGAAAACCAACAATTTTACCCAGGGCACTGATACATTTTTTAAATCACTCTCTGTTACGTTTGAAAAAACAAACATTTTTAACCTATGAAGATATCTCCCAGTCCTTATGAAAGAAAGTAAATAGGGGCTTTTGAGCTGAAATGCTATAGAAAGATATTTAGAATACCATGGAAAAAGAAGAGAAGAAATACCGACATTTTAAAAGATCTGAACATCAAGGAAGATCTACTAATAAACAGCAACCTGTCTCAGAAGCTGAAATATTTTAGTCATTTCAAGCACCATAACAGACTGAAAATTAAAAAATTATAGCAGAAGGCATGGTACCAGGAAGGAGGGGCAGAGCTGACCGACACAATGATGGACACAGGACATAAGTGATTTTTTTTATTATAAAAGCACACGAGGCAGGAGAGCTAGCAAGAGACTGAAGTTTCTTTCAGGCAGACAGTGATGACAGCGACGTTCTGCAAAAAACCTAAACAATGTACAAGGATAAATAAAGGAAGCTTTCAACAAACACGAACAAAGAGAAGTATTAAATTGTATATATTCCTAGGGCTTAAAAAATCATTATCTATCGGCTGACACATGCCATGACCACTGACCAATTTCAATGAGGCTTACAGGAAAATCTGATACCAACAGCTTTAAAAAAGCAAGCTGGTTCGCAGGAAAACATCCCTAAATGCTATTTTAACTAATATATTCGTTTCTTGACTTCCTAAACATTTACTCAGACACTCTTCGGAATTGTTTAAGGATGACATGGAAGGGAACTGGCCACTTCACCTCACATGACATAACCTAGAATAAGGGAAGACCAAACAAACCACAGTGCGACAGAAAAATAGAGAATATCTGCTATGAGACTATTTCAGCCTACTAGACCGTAAGACTTTTGCCCTGCAAATGCTTAAAAACAAAAACAACTGGGTCATGAACATGTGAATTCTGGGAGAGAAAAAAAAAACATTTAAAAAAAACAATCATTTAGCACAGGTAATTCATATATTTTTTTTAAACTGATTTATTTACACAAATAATAACATTTTCGGAAATATATAAAGACACATTAAAGGGGTAATTAATAAAAATGAACAGGATGCAGCATTAAATGAAATACATTTCCAGCGGCCTTTAACAACCATATGTTAATGTTTGCATTCACCAGTTATAAACTTTGGGGAAAAGTCCTGGTTGTTCATCCATTTCTGGACTTTGGCTTTGTTTCAGGGCCTGAGTTTTGCGTGTGCATCTGTTTTACAGATCTAACTTATTTGTATGCAGATTGCTGGTTTCTTGCCTCTCAGGCAGATGGACTCCGACTTCAAAGGAAGCCCCCAGTTAGTCGACTTTTACCACATGCTTCTTGTGGAGGCAGTGGGTCTATTCTTGTTTTTCCCACAACGGGTCCCCGGAACCCACACAGGGGAACAACCATATGTATTGGGTCATTCAAGCCATGACCCCGAACTTTTACAGAGAAAGTCTGATGTAAGTATGGCTTTAAAAAGTCATGTGGTTCACACAAAAACCACCTAAATGCTATTTTTTAGTAAATTGTGCTCAAACACAATCAAAGTTAACTATGCATTTCATAAACATGTCATTGTAGAAAATTCAGTTTTGCAACTTTTAGGCCGACAGGGTTAAATGCTCATCTTATGGCAAGTGCATCAAAAACCACAGACCTCAAATACAACCAAAATTTACTAACAAACGGGTGGGACATGGTGAAATACTTTTGTTTTAATTTGTAAATAAACAAATAAACGAAGCAACAGACCCAATACCTGCAAGCAGGGAAGGCTAAATGATAAGCATTTTTTCTGTAAAGTATGGATTAGACAGGATTAAGTAGAATAAGGGCTGTAGGAGTGACCATAAGAGATAAGATCAGGAATGAGATCATAAGAGAACAAGTCGGCACAGAACCAATTCTGAATTACATACAAAGACAGCAAGTGAAATGGTTTGCCCACTTAGAGAGAATGCCTTGTGACACCATACCATACAAAGCATACATGGAAAGAGAAGGACGTAGAGCATGGGGTAGACCAAGAACAAGATGGAAGGATAACATCAAAGAAACTCTACAACAGCACGATGTGCCTATGGTCGAGGCAGCCAGAAGAGCTAGAAACAGAACCTTATATCTCCCTCGACACCCACAGCGGTAAAAGAGGAAGTGAAGAAGAAGAAGAAGAAGAAGTAGAATAAGATGAAGGCTCTACTCTGAGATAATACAGTATTACTTTCAAGTCACCCACAACAGTTGTTCCAGACAAGCGATGTTAAGTCAGTTGTATTCAAGAAAAAGAAATAACACACACACACACAAAACACATTTAGTGTACCTTTACTCAAAATCCTTCTTGGCATTCAGCGGCTGTTAACTCCAGGGGGCAGTTCTGGTTGTTCAACCACTTCCAGACTTTGGTTTTATTCCAGAACTTGAGTTCAGATCTGGCTCACTTGTGTGCAGACTGTTGATTCTTCGCCTTTCAGGCAGATGCACTCCGACTTCGAGGGAAACACCCCAAATGTGTCCCCCTTTTAGACATACTGTTGGGGAGGGGGCGGGGGGGGGGGGGGGGGGGGGGGGGGGAGAGGGAGGGGTGCCGCGGGTCTATTCATTTTTCTCTAAAAATGGGACACATGAACTCACAAGAGCACCTCCATTTAAACAAGCACGGGGGTGGGGGTGTCGTAAAAACAACTTGCTTCTGATGTCTTGCAACCACACTCCCGGGGGTAGGCAGAAAAGCCACATTTCTCCCAGATTTACGGTACCTATCATGGAATCAAGGCCGAAGGGTTGCGATATCCATAGTACCGAGCCAAAGGGTTAACAACTCATGGTTTCTAGATATTTAAAAAAAAGAAAATTTACCAGTAGTTGCAAAGCACTACAAGATATCAATTCAAATATTCTGCACATAATAAAGGGTGAATGGCATAGAAGAAAATAATTTATTTACCTTGATTGCTCGCTCAACCATTTCCTTTGCTTTTGTAAGCCTCTCCCCTTCAGTGATTGATGACATTTTCTGTGGGTTTATCTTGGGTCTCCCCAGAGTTGGCATGGTTTTACTGCGGGCTGACATAAATGACCCTGTTGTATCAGTTCCCAAAAGGTCATTTTCTATGGACAACGAGAAATTGCAATTAGAAACAGAAATGTTTAAATGGAAATGCATGAATCTAGAAAGTTCAAGAGAACATGAAAAAGTAATTTCTAACAGAGAAAAAAGAAAAGGAAAAAAACCTTAATAATCTGTATTGTAGAAATTCAGACTGGCAAAAACATATTCTAAAAAAATTTGTTTCAAGATAACCAGGTGTATATATATATATATATATATATATATATATATATATATATATATATATATATATATATATATATATATATATATATATATATATATATATATATATATGGTTGGTTAGGTGAGTGTGTGTGTGTTCTGTTTCCTAATGTACGCTAATGAAGGTTTATGCCTTCCAAATCCTCCATATGTTGTGTTCTGTACAGCTGGCATTAGTCCGCTCTCTGGCCAAGTCGATGCAACGCTTCGTAATGCCGGGATGCCGGGTTCAATCCCAGCTGCGGGCCATGGGCCTTGCGTTGGTTTCAACAGTGATATCAAGAAAGCTGACCACCCAGAAAGCAATGGCAAACTACTGGACATAAATTTGCCTAGAAAAACCACACAACAGCCAGGGGCTGTTGGAGTTGGTTCTGCAATGTCCTGTAAAGGATACGCAACTAACCTAACAGCTGACATTATAACTAATGTTTCATCATTTTATATTGCAACTTTATAGAATGTATGTGAGTCCATACTCATACTCAATTTGTGAAGAAACAAATTGGAGCTTTTGAACTGAAATGTTGCAGAAACATTCTGACAATACCGTTTTCCAAGCAGAAGAAAAACGTTAAACATCCTACATAACAGGAACATTGAGGAGAATTGGCTCATAAACAGCATCCTATCCTGTATTGTGGCCATGTCAAGGTGGCCTGGAGAGAACATTGATGGAGGGTGCTGTTCCCAGAAGATCAGACAGAGACAGATCTCTGCAGAGGTGGATACAAGACACTAAAGATGCACTGGCTATGAAAGCACACAGGGCTGGAGAACTCGCTATAGAAAGAGAGACTTGCAGGCGTTCCATGAAGACAGTGACTTTCTGTAAAGGATCTGCTGACTGATGATGATGACGATAGAATAATAAATATTAATAAAATCAAAACGACTTTTGAGACAATAAAGATTCTTCTTCGTCTTCTCCCCTTTTTCCCCTAGTGGAGCGTAGGCCCCAAACCAACTCATCCCATTCATCCTACCATTTGCTATTGTATTATCTTTTTTAAAGACTTTTTCATGGTTGATAGGCTATTGTGGCTATAGTGATTTACGATACAAGTTAGTGAACCCCCAGAAAAGGAAAAAAGAAGAACCAGGAAAAGGATTAAAGCTGGCTCACCTTTATCACTAGGAACACTGCCTTCCTTGAATTTGTTGTTTGATGCATCTTTAAGTCCTGGACTACTAACTTTTCCCAGGCTGGACAAAAGGTCTGCAGTACTTAGAGTTCGAGAGCCTTTCAAATAGAATATGGAAAGAGACTTGAGTTACGAATGGTTGAGCAACTTAGTTTCAGGCTTGTTGCTTATTCTTTTGACAAAAAGTACCGTATTTAACACGTATAACAGGCTACAAACTTGTAAACGCTGCACCGTTTCTGAAACAATAATTTTTGGAAAAATAATTTTCTTAGAATTCGTCAAGAGGCCACAGTCGAAACAGGAGCTCCTGTTAGCAGTAAAAGGTGGGTCATGCAAGAACATGTTACAGTTGTAAATTTTAGTTGTATATTATAAACTGATCAGCTGGGAGGAAGTCTGATGTGGATTATAAAAATGTGTGAAGATGGATTTGAATAAAACATGCTGTTGAAAAAACATTTCAAAGTCGACAATATTTTTCTTGGCAAGAAAGCAAAATACCCGGAAGTAGAATCCAATCTTCTGGAATATGTCAAGAGAATATGGGTAGATGGATTTTTGAGTCCCGGGATATGTTACAGTTTGAAGCGGGTCAATTATCAGACATCAAGAAAATGGCTCAAAGTGAATTTAAAGCCAATTATGGCTGGGCAAGGCACTTTATAGCCTGAAATGTCCTCGTGATTCCGTGACAGGACAACAATGGCGCATCGACTTCCTGTCACCTACCAGGTGAAACAGTTTGTTTCAAAGACATGTACTGAAATTACAAAAGACGCAACTTCTAAAAAATGGCAAATGGAAATGCAGATGAAACTCCTGTATACTTTGATACACCAGGGGAAACAACAGTGAATGAAGCTGGTGGAAAAAGTGTACATGCGAACTTGTGAGCAACAACAAAAAACATCAAAAAACAACGGTGTACCATAATGTTTGGTATCAGGGCAAGTGACATGTAAGCCTAATATCTCGAAAATAAACCGCAACCTTATTTTCATTTACTATTTTTGGTTAAAATACTGTGGCCTTTGCATGTGTTGAAAAGGTAATTAAAATATTATCAAAATTACAGTCTTAGCAGAATGTGTAAGCTTTCATGTCTCTCCAAATATCTGGCCACTGATGATGTGAACCCGTTCTATTGATATCACTCCTCTGGCTGGGATTCCTTTGAATATTTTCTCCAGATAATGCCGGTGTGTAGGTAAACGAACATGCTGACAGAGTGGCTAGGGAGCTGATGAATGACAAGCTAGATCTTGTAAGGGTCCTTTGGCAGCCAGTGAACAGTACGGAGACACAAACAGATCATCACGGCCTGAGAGGAATAGTGCTGTGAGGAGTAACCAGGAGATCTGGCCAATACTCACTGCCCAAACGAAGAGACTGATATACAATTAGACTGTCACTGGTATCGTCAGAATTGGAACTCTGCACTTGCTGCTGAAGATAGGGAGGCAGCGCTTATGAGAATGTCCTGTGTGCTGTGATTTAGATTCTTAATTTAGTATTCAACACTGTGTGGGATGCAGAGGTGCTGAACGATACATTGTGGTGCACAAACATAAGAGCTCATAAAGGTCCAGACCTATCTATACCTCTCTGTGGTCATCCCTAGAAACTTGCCCAACCATGGAAACCTCGCCAGTACAGACCTGTCCTTTTAAATTGGAATGCATCCGCCTGAGAGACAAAGAACCATTAGCCTTTCTGCCATAAATTACGTTAAACTTTTGTTCCATTATTTTGGTCTGATTACGGCAGGAAAATTAGAAGGACTCCCATCACCTTTTCACAAATTCCAGGGTTTTTTCAGACTTTAAGTATCTAGTGGTGATCTGTAATTCAAGGTGTTTTTTTCTAAGTTTTCAAGAGTCACTATGAGCCCTGGGGTGAAGCATTAAATGGTATACATCTCCCAGTGCCTAAAAAAATAATACGTATCAGGTGACCCATGACCTCTATCACTGAGGCTTTGGGAAATGTTTATGTCAGTTTGATGTCAACTATTTCAATATTCAACACTGTGTGGGATGCAGAGGTGCTGAATAACAAACGGTGGTGGTGCACCAGCAGCAGGGTTCATACTGGTCACAACCTATCTATACCTCTCAGTGGTTATCCCTAGAAACTTGCCCAAATGTGGGGGGGGGGGAAGGGGGGGGGGGAAAGGGGGGGGGGCCTCACCAGGATAGACAGGACAGACCTGTCCTTTTAAACTGTAATGTATCTGCCTAGGAGACAAAGAACCAACACTGTGCACACAAACAAGCCAGATATGTAAGAAAAAAAATGCACTCAGCATTCAAGTCCAGAAACAAGACCAAAGTACAGAAGTGGAAGAACAACCAGGACTTTATCCCAGAATTTACAGCTGGTGAACATGAAAAAGATGCCGATTATACTGTCTTAGACCATCCTGTCACATTTCTCTAACTCTGCCTCTACTTCTTCTATTGTTGATCTTTTTTTTAGTTGTCACAATATTCTCCATTGCTTCTCTTCTCTAAAAAAAAATTTAAGTCCTAAAAATAAAATTAAAAATATTTACAAGGAACAGCAATTACAAACCTTTGAATATTTTTTCCAATCCGGACTCTTCAGGATTGGAGGCAACCTTTCTTTGGCTGACAGTGGAATTATGAGATGGGCTCCTGGTCTCTGTTTCATCTGGTACTTCCAGATCATTTTCTTCCTGAAGTTATGTGAACAGAAGCTATAACTTCATATAAAACATAAATACATTTGTTAACAGAGAATTCCCATGGTAAAACAGCTTAGGTTGCCTAATGCTCTGAAGACTGTGGACGTGTTCCCAGGCTAAATCATTCAGTTAACAAGTACCTTTTTGTGAAATCCCTAGGGAGTGTTTCTGGAGATATGAAGTTCATATTTTGTGTGACACTCTTGGCAGGTGCCCAGCAACTCTCTTCTAGGTACCAAATCATATGGGATAAAACTCAGTTAAATGAAGTCAGTTGTCTCTCACCATTAAAAAATTATTCTAAATCTTCACAGTTATAACAGGTTTGAGGTCAGGGCAAATGCTGGTGATCACTGTCCCATCCTCTCTGTTATCTTAAATTTAACTCCTTCAGTTTCAGAGATATGTTACTTTCACTCTCCTTTAAAAGCTGTTGCTTTAAATAATGAATGTTTGCATCTTGAGAGGTTAAAATAATAACTCAGACAGAATTAACTGAATAAACAGTGTGGGGCAGAGTTTAACCATGTCCCTCCCACTCTATAAATATGTGCAATAATCACATGCGAATTCATGAAAAAAATCCTTAAAATAACCCAAAATTTTACATAGGTCATTATCTACATTTTTTTTTAAATTCCAGATGATAGGTAGAGAGAGAGGGAGAGAGACACAGCAAGAGGTTAGGGAAATACACAGAATGGGTGGGGGGGGGGGGGGGGGATAGATATGTAGAGAGAGAAAGTGAGACAGTAAAAATATGCATACGAACTATCAAACACAAATTCTAATCACATGCAGCGCTTGCTGAAGAAAATCCCCCCCCCCCCCCCCTTCCCCCTTTCAAGTCCCGCACATGCAATTTTTTACATCTGACAAAGTGAATATTGCGTCTTTCAGCCAGCAATTGGCCAAGCAATCCGACAAAGTGAATATTGCGTCTTTAAACCAGCAATTGGCCAAGCAATCCGACAAAGTGAATATTGCGTCTTTAAACCATCAATTGGCCAAGCAATCCGACAAAGTGAATACTGGGTCTTTAAACCAGCAATTGGCCAAGAAGAGTTATGAAGTCTCAAGCTATAAGTGTTGAACATTTTAAATGACAAATTTATTTTGTAAAACATCATTGATAGTTTAAAAAGAAACGGGGTAGAGAGCGAGAGAGAGAGAGCGCGAGGAGATGGGAGTTGTACGGAGGACATGTGTGTATATAAAAACAGACAGATTGACAGACAGACAGATCGATAAACAGATAGACAGAGCATAGTACACTTTCAAATATATATCTAGTCTGTGCGTTGTTACACTGCTTGCATTTCGTGTAATTTTCGCTGCTCCCAAATAATACCCAATTATTTTTGTTAGGCATATCTACCCATTTCAGTTGCAAATGACACCCATGCATAATTTAATCGTAAGCTGTGTAGTACTTAACAGGCAATAAAATATCACACCGTACTGTATATCACTAACTAAACAATGAAACAGTGAATACAGATCATGCCCGCTGGAAAAAACTGGACACATTTACAATGAGATAGGCGACGCTCGACTGCACATGTACAGGATACAAGAAATTACTGCAAACAATTCAATGATGATAGCCGGAAAAAGCCTGATGCCGGAAATTACATGAAACTTTCGTTCCATTTTTTATTGTTTTTATCTGGTTACAGCAGGCAATTTTCAAGCCCACATCCCCATTTCACAAATATAAGAGCTTTTTAAGACTTCAAGTATCTAGTGGTGATTTGTGATTCAAGGGTTTTTCTAAGTTTTCAAGGGTCACTATGAGCCCTGGAGTAAAGCATTAAATGGTATACATCCGCCCAGTGCCTAAAAAACAGTATGTATCGGGTGACCCTTGACCTCTATCACTGAGGCTTTGGGGAATTTTGATGTCAACTTGGCATTATAAAAGTGGTTGGGTGGGTGGGTGGGAGCGTGTGTGTGTATAGGCATGGGGCGATTGCGCGCACTTGCATGTGATGCATGTGTGCGTGCATGAGGCATACATATGTGAGTGCATGTGAGATGTATGTATATGTGTTTATGTGTGTGTGTGTGTGTGTGTGTGTGTGAGCAAGCATGCGTGTGCATGTTATGCTAAACATACAAAAATATTTTATAATGCATACAACACTGACTTCACTAGTTAAGACCAAAGTAATCCCATAACAATGATGAATGTGATAACCACCTGCACTGGACTGCAGGATAATTTGTAGCGGTCAAAAACCCAAATAAGACTGTTTTATGCGGTTATACACGGTCTCTAGAATTTGCCCCTATTATTCACAATCATAATAACGACTATCTGAGTTACTAGGTATCAATCTCAGGCTGCAATCAAGAAAAGAAAATTTTTTTAAAACAAAGAGTACTAAAGATGATGAATAAGAGAAATGAAAATTAGCACACACAAATTAACGACACAGCAAAACAACAGCAGGGACTCCAGAAGAAAAACAAGGAACATAAGGCACAATATACCTCTTGCACACTGACATGCTGCGCTGCAGGCTGGTCTCTGAGGCTGTTATGAGAGGTAAGCTTCTCTTGCTAAAGAATAAAAGAAGCAGTTAACAAAAACTGCTATAATTGCCTGTATTACCACTTTTAATGGTGCAGGCCGAGGAAAGGGGGGGGGGGGGGGGGTCTTTGAACCTGAGGATTTAGGGTCAAATGGCTGTTATTGTCACTTCAGACTGTGCAAGTTAGGTTGTTTTTTTCCGATGACAGAAAAAACCACAACCTTGCCGAGGACTCGAACCCGGGTCTCTCGCATTACAGCCTAGTGTCTCAACCATTTGTGTGCTTGTGTTACTCCTTGTCTCTCGGGCAGATGAACTCAAGACTTTAAAGGAAGACTTTGATCCTATGTCGAGAATAACAGTAGCTATTGTTTTGTGGTACATGACATAGCCCCCCCCCCCCCCCCACTTTTTTCTCTAGAGGTGATGTTCCCAGACTGGTTGGTCCTCAAGGGAAAGCAGCGGCAGAACATAGACACTCCTCGCAATCCAAGGAGGTGTCCATAAATGCAGAGCCAACATATGATACTCTGGTCCTGGGCTCACCCAAGGAATCATCACGTCCTGCACATGACTGCTCAATCTCACATCTGTATGCTGAGCTTCCCACTCATCCTGGGCTGCACCCTTTAGAGGGCAACTTGGATGACCACATAGATGGGCAAAACCTTCCTCAACACACCTTTAAGTAGTTGCATCAGGACACTCAGCACAACAGTATAGGAAATGCATTCATCAGGCATGGCTTCCACCTTATGGCCCTGACACTCTTGAGGAGTGGGGACATTTGAACCTGTCACATGGTAGGACTTTTGACAGTCTAACTTCTTAACCTTGTCTATCACACAGTAGGACATTTGAAGGTCAGCCTTCCGAATTCTGTCTGTCACACAGTAGGACATCTGATGGTGTAACATCCAGAAGGTTGCTGTAGGACATTTGAACCCAAGCAGCAGTTTAGCAGGACTTTCGGTCGACAGACGTATGAACCACGGTTTGTCAAACAGTAGGATATTCAGCCAACGGGCTTCACTCATGTTCTAAATAAGTTTTTGATGGATGCATGCATTGGGGGCGGGCTTATAAAAGCCAGGGGATTTCTGGACTGCATTTCTGGGGGGCCACCAACTCCCAGATCTCCTGCCATCCTAATATGAGCCATATTCTGTAGCATACAACATGGACGTGTAGCAGAACTCTTGCCTGGGGATCCGTAAAACCAGCCCAAGCCTACTGGCACCCAAAGTGAGGTACAAGGTAAGGAGTATCTCCTTATACACAACGTCCATAATTCTCCTTCATGCCTGTGACCAAAATCCCCAGGCCATGCCAGCCATCTTCACTTCTCAGGCCTTTATAAGATACCTATCTTATTCTTGGCTGATCTGGGAGTCAAAGTTTAAAAAAAAAAAAACACAACTCCAGGCGAATTTGAACCAAAAACTAGCACTGTCGGTAAGCATATTGCCGCTAAATTACCCCTGCTCTCATGCAATTCTTTGCTAAAAATCATAGTAATGTTTTTGCTGCCTCTTAGAAAGATATATCATTTACCCTTTTATGTTGAAGATGACCATATTTAATTTAAAAATACATAGACAAGTTTCCCATGTGGATTCTCAGCCTCGTTATTGGGAAAATAGGAATAGACACTCTGCCTCCTTAAAAAAGCATGTTGTAAAAAGTGACCAATTAGGAGTGTCTCCTTTAAAGTCGGAGCACCAATAAGCCAGATCTGTAAAATGTACGTGCAACAAAAATTCAAGTTCTGGAACAAGATCAATGTCTAAAAGTGGACAAACAACCAGAACTTTCTGCTGAAGTTTACAGCCAGTGAACACTTAGAAGAAGAAGAAGAAGAAGAAGAAGAAGAAGAAGAAGAGACAAGTACTTTAATAAACTAACTAAAAGTTCTTCAGAGAGCTTTCTTTAAACTGTATATACTGCATGCACTGTGTCTGAAAAACGTGATGAGACTGGTAGCCACTCAAGTGTATCAGAAATCACAAAATATTTATCGGTAGTGACAGAAGTGTTTAAGAAATCAAAAAGTAATGAAGACCACAAGACTACAAACAGCTCGCTGGAGTGAGCAAATCTTGCTGGAGTGAGCAAATTCTGCTAGTCAGTACAGGGACTAAGAACCAGGATTATTACAAACTATTCAGGCAATGAACAAATATTCTGAACTATGACTAGCAAGCTCAACAAGAAAGGTAAAAACATACACAGAAACACACACCCAAAAAAATAATGTTCAGAATGAAGCCTTCATCAATGAAAGATAATTGTTTCTGTAAATGTTCAACTCCCCCCCCCCCCCTCCCCCCGGGTTGTGCTTCGTCATGATGATTCAGCTGATTTTTTTTTTTTTTTTTTATATTGGCATAAAGGCAGGGTACCAGGAAAGAGGGGCATTGGCCAACCAGCACAAAGATGGGCACAGGACGTAAGTGACATTTTGGATGCATGGGGCGGGAAAGCTGGCAAGATACATTTCTTTTAAGAAGAACATGACGAGAGCGAGATTCTGCAAAGGATCTGCAACATGATAATAATGAGCTTCACTGCGGTCATTTCTATTTTCATCTCTTTCGGACAATGAGTGTCAATGCTGTGTGAAACATTATTTATATAATTTCTACATGGAAAGACACATAGGGGAAAAACAGTAAGAGAAGATTCTAGACAGCTTTTCATTATGGCACAGACAATTTTTACATTATACAGGAGGCCATGTGGAAAGGTACGAATGCTCATGCCAGCTGGCAAGGCACTTGATAATGATTGACGATGACTTCTGTACCTCTGAATAGAAGAACAACAATGTAGGAAGTAAAGACAGCACAGCAAATCTCATAAAAACTATTTTTTTTTTACGACCAACTACTAGTGTCAAACATGGAACCTCACAACCACAGTTTGAGGCACACATGGGTCATCATGGTCCTTACAGAATGTTGCAGCGAGGAGTGCCCAGCGGACCAGGCCGACGCTCAACAACCCAGCAGAGAGGTTAGACAGACATACAATCAGATTGTTACTGGTACCATGGGAATTAGAACTTTGTTTCTGCTGCTGAAGATGGGGACAGAGTGATTATAGAAATGTCCCAAGTGCAGTTATGTCCTTTATTTAAACTCATAACTCTTGAGTAGAACATAACGAGATTAGATTCTTAGAAGAGCTGCTGAAGAAACAGTGATACAATTTTACATCACAAAGTTACAAGAAGACCAGGACTGAAACCAGTTATTTACAATTTATTAAAGAGCAACGGATGAATTTGACGATAGGAAGAAAATGTCCTGGTAACCTGGAAAGTTAACCTGGTCAACAAATGCTTGATGAAGCTGGATGCATTAGCCGAAAGGCGCAAATATTGCAGCTGTTCTGTAATCAGGGCAACACAAATACGTCACTCAAATTTAAAAAAAAAAAAAGAGTCCTGGTAACAACAACAACAGTGCTATTCAACTAAGTTTACTCAGGGCTCAACATTTCAAAATGGGGATTGTCACGGGCCAGAGGGACGAGCCCCAGCAAAAAAAGATCATTAATATAACACACCTGGTAATGATCTGTGGCCCTCTTGCTAGGCCTCCACCGCCCACTTTTGGCCCGCAAGCCACCAGTTGAAAAACCCTGAACTACAACATTGAGCTATGTTAAAGAGATACACAGTATGGGGAAGTCCACATAAACAATGAAGGGATGTCATCAAAACGAAACTTCAACAAATGAAATGAATTTACAAAGTTCACTCAAAAGAGAATACACATGATCATTACATCTCCTCCCAAATTTCACTGAGGTACTAAAAGGAGGAACAGAGGAAAACGAAGCCCACATTTACTCTGGCTTAATTTCATCTTACTTACATGTCTCTTCTCTTGAATACGGAGAAGCCTGTAAGGCTTTTGCTTAACTTCTGACTGCACATTTTCAGCCGGTTTCAGTAGTAATGCCTGACTGACTTTTATGTCTGATTCGTCCAGAGTTTGCAAAGGTGTACTGCTATGCTGTAGTTCCGCATAATTGCTCATATTCTTATTAACTGCACACTCTAGCATTTGATTGAAATTATTTCCCCAAAAATTATCAAAACTGTTTAGTGATTCTTAATTTGTTCTTATATACCCAAAATGTGTGTCTGAAACAGTGAAATATTTTTTAAACAGGACCAGAATCAGTACAGAAGTAACTTATCTTTACAGGTTTGTAATAAATTGATAGAATTCACAGCTAACTATACATTTCAGACATATAAAGTATATAATGAATTGGCTCTCCTTTCAACTACGGCCGGTAGACAACAGTAGACGGCCGGTTAGTCGGAGTCCTGTCCCCTGGCTGCAGTGCAATTACGGACTGGAGAAGGCACGAATCAGAAAACACAGTGAGGTCGACATGCCTGGCGCTGCAACTCAAATTAGCGACCGTGTTCAATTACCGCTTCTTGCGACGCATTACGGAGTGGAATAGAGGGAACGAAACAAGTGACATAATTACTGTGTGTTGGTGATAGACAGCGTGCAGTGCCCTATTGTCATCATACGGTTAGGGTTTGGGTTAGGGTTAGAGGTAGGGTTAGGGTTTGGGTTGATACTGTGAGTTTGTGTGAAGACCAGATGCGACGACAATAACTGTAACCCTAACCCTAAACCTAACCCACACCCTACCCCTACCCCAAACCGTAACTGTATGATTATAGCAGGGCAGTGCACGCTGTCTATCGCCAACATACAGTAATTACGTCATTTGTTTCGTTCCAATATTTTCACTCCGTAATTGAACTGCAGCAAGGGGACAGAACTCCGACTAACCGGCCGTCTACTGTTGTCTACCGGCTGTAGTTGAAAGGAGAGCCAATGAATTCATACATAGCATAAATATACAGCTAATAAATAAACACACACATGGCTATTTTTTCTCTAAATTATGCCTACAAAAGTGCTGGTACAGCATCAAGCCAATAAAACAAAACAAAATATCTCTGTGTGTGTTTGCTAAACTACTCTGCATTTGATCAGCACTGGTGAAAATGTTTGATTATGCTTAAAAAATAAAACTTATAAAGTATAAACAGTTTAAATACAATTTTTTTGAAAATAATGTTACTGAAACTGTTGAAAGAATAATTTATAATTTTGATCGATGATTTGCACACTGGCATGATTATGATTTGCAGTTTTGAGTTTATTATTTACTAACAAAAATAATGGGAAATTTACTAATAGTAGGAAGTCAATCGTGCATTTTACTGTTTAGTTCAACTTAATTAACTTGCTGTTTAATATACAACCATCATCAGAGAAGGCCCAGCCTTGGGCCTAACAAACATCCAAGACCTAAAACAGGTGGCAAAGAACTAGGCTGAGTGCAGAGGTATGACTGACCTCTGCCCTATGCCGGCGCCGCCCTAGTCCTAGTCTCAAGAGGAAATATTAACTAACTATAATACTAAATACTATAATAAAATTACTGTAAACACTTTCGATAATCTTTCACTTAAGACTGTTAACGCTTTATCTTACAACAGTGGTAGATCGTCTTACATATTTGGCTGATTTCAGCTGTTCCATTTTGATTCTGCTTCTTCTATTTTGTTCCCATTTTTGTCAACATTAAACTAAAACTACCATCTTTACTATTAGCATAGCCGCCTACTCTGGGGGCAGCTGAGCATTATGCCGACGTTATAACTTTGCTTCAGCATGGTATAACTGTGCTTACACAGAGATGTAACCAACTTTAACATTCGAGTAGACGTGTTTAATCAAAGTCTGACTACAGCACTCTGGCATTATGGTCGTCATGGAACCCGCCATACTTTTCTGGTCCCGTTAAAAATTCAAAATCACATGATAAAATATTCAAACCTTAGTAATTATTTTTTTCCAAAACCAATTTCGGTACGCGAATGTTAAATAAATATTTTCAGTTGAATTATTATAAAATGGTAATATACAAGTGGACAGATATTTGTTTCACATAGTAAAAAAATATATATAATAATATTTTTAAATTATGGGTTTTTTTCCGATTCTCCTATTAACATGCAGTACATAGCAGTGAAGAAATCAATACAATCCGCTTGAGTAAAGTTTTGGTTTCTTTCTCATTCTATTCCTAAATTTACCCCCTTGTACTATTGACAAAATTACATCCCCCCCCCCCCGGGGTCGACCCAGCCTTGAATGGGTACCAGATGCAGTACTAGGAGATAAAGGCGGCCGGCGTAGTGTTGACCACATCACCCACCAAGTGCCGATTAGATTGTAAAATATAGCTCAAGATGGGCGTGGTCTAGCCCTATATACTTAATACGCCTGGAAAATGGATGTGTCCGGAGTGTTGTGAAGATAATCTAACTCACAACGCATGGAAAAGGATCCATTTACTTTTACTATTGAAAATTTAATTGGAAGCTGCAGATAAGTTGTTTTATAGAATACCATCCTTTAAGAAATTTCTTCTAAAAATTAAAAAAAAAAAAAAAAAATTGGTGACGATAATCTGTTTTTTTTTTTAATAATAAAGGCATAATTAATCCACTGTTTCAATGGCACAATGTTAGTAAGATTATCTAATTATTTGTAGTACAACTTCAAGTTCCTTTAATGGCGCAATATTAAAGAGATTATGTAAATATGAATAGTTCACAATTACAATTACAACCCAAATCAGAGTAATGTTTGAAACAATACAACTGAAATATTTACCTTAAAGAAATTATAACAAATAGATACTCGTGAAAATCGACGAAAATTATATATTGCAATTATAACTCCAAAGTTTGAACAGGATAGTTTTTCAAAAATGACTACTATTGTTGGACATCGTGACATGGAAATCATCTGTGTCAGAGTTGTTTGAAAGTACAGGAGACACAAGCCTGTGGTAGTCGCCGTGGCGTAGCGACTAGACGCTCACGTGCGGATTGGAAGGTCTTGGGTTCGCTCACTGGCGGAGCCGGACTTTTTTTTTTCAAAAATGACATTGACTCTCAAATTGACCCAGCCTCTAGTGGGTACCGGGTGCGGTCCCGGAAAGTAAAAGGCGGCCGGCGTGATGCTGACCACATCACCCATCTTGTGCCGGTTGGTTTATAAAAAATATAGGCCTAGCCCTATATGCCCTATACACCTTAAGGCGTGGAAAGGGGACCGTTACTTTTTACAAAAGTTTGTGCATTGACATGACTACCGAGGCCACACAGCACCTTTTCCAATGTGTTATGTGAGATGTCTTCGTTTCCCCAAGTTTCTTTCTCTTCTTTTCCCTAAATCACCTCCGTTCAATATTGTGTAATTTTTCTAGAAAAAAGGTGCCGTCATCCAACACAAGACGTCTAATGAAAGGTGTCGGTGCGCACTATATAAATATATATATGGTGTGTGTGTGTGCGTGCAGAGAGAGAGAGAGAGAGAGAGAGAGAGAGAGAGAGAGAGAGAGAGAGCAATGCTATGGACATATAGATCGACACTCGGCTTCACATACAAGGAATGCTAAATATAACACCTGTTTACGTCTTCACTTACAAAGTATGAGTGTGTATGTTCAGTAACTGGGGAACGCTCTCAGAGATCTCCGGGATAAAATAAGGAAACGCGCGCGCATATTGGTGATGTATGCTCTCCGTTTGTAACAGTTACTAAATGCCTGTGATTTCATTTCTAATCCTGTTTGTGGATGTGTGTGTGAGATATGTCTGGATTTTCAACAAATGTTATATAAGCTAATGTACACAAGCGGTCTGTTTTCCGTACGCTGCGCTGGCAAAGATAGGCTCGCACGCGAGTTACCAATGACAACAGACAGCACGGCATGGTAACCCGACTGAATTCAAATGAAGTTGAAGGGAGAGCTGCAGGGGAAAGACACCACTTGACAAGTAGCCACACAAAGTTAGTTGCGTATCCTTTACAAGACCTTGCAGATTCAATCTCATCATTTTTCATTCTCTTGTGGGTTTTCTATGCAAATTTACGTCCAGTAGTTTGCCAGTACTTCCTGGACAGTCGGCTTCTCAATACCACTGTCGAAACCAGTGCAAGGCTCGTATCTGGGATCGAACCCGGCACTCTGGCATCACAAAGCGCGTTCGCAACGCCTAAACCACAGATGCCGACATGTAGCCACATACAGGGCCGAATTTACACTCGATTATACCTTAAGCCAGAGGTTCTCAAACTTGTTTTCGCCGCTGCACCCTTGTCGGGCGGGAAAAAAAATTCCTCCTTCTTCTTCTTCTTCTTTTCTTCCTCTGCTGCTGCTGATGATGACGATGATGATGCCACTTTGCGTTCACCGGCTGTTAACTCCGCCGACCAAAGTTTTAGTTGTTCGTCCACTTGTGGACTTAAGTTGTGTTCCAGATCTGCAGTTTTGCGTTTTACATTGATTAGCACCTTTCCGTCTTTCCAGACGTTAGTAATGGTCATGGTAATGTTAGTTTCAGATTCACAGCAAACGGGTCACCCCATAGTTGCCCCGCTCCTGTGCCAAAGAAAAACACACAGAATATTCGTCACAGTCCCTTGTGAAAAGATTGACAGACTGCTGTCTCAGCATATGTACTAGCATACACACGCATTAAAGGGCATACTGTAGCCATTAGAAGTGCTAACACAAACAGTCCGACATTAGAAATGCAGTTCATCATCGACGGTAGTAGAGGTAACCAATAAATCAGCAGTTGCACACGCGATCTGTTTTAATCACATAAGGGCACCACCAATATTGCGACGACAGAGCATTTTCTGAATCTACAATTCACAACACCACGTTGGTCACAGTCGAAAAATATTCCAAATGAAATCCGCAGCTCACAGGGTCGCACCATGCACTCACTCAGTAGCTGGGCGACGAAATTAAATCCATTCAGTCTACAAATGGATTAACAATGCAAAGGCCACCGTCTGGCAGAAGCAAAAAAAATTGTCAGGACTCAAAACAGTGACAGTGCCAAGGGTCCATTTTGACCGAGGATTGTACACATGTACTCGTTAGTGAGGAGGCATGGACGCACAGCCCATGGCGATGGCGAGTATGACTAGGAAGACCCACC